CAACTCCCCAAGATGGTGGCTGCTTGGCTAGAAGGATAGTCACTTGTGTGTGTGTGTGTGTGTGTGTGTCCGTGTACATACATATGTGTGAAGGTCGAAGGTCAGCCTCACATTCCTCAGTAGCTGTTCGCTTTCTTTTGAGATAGGGTCTCACAGTGAGGCCTGAGGCACTCCACTTCAGCTAGGTTGGGAGGCCAGCCGAGCCTCAGAATTCATGACTCTGCCTCTCCAGCATGGGGATTACAATGCTGTGCCACCATTCCTGGGCTTTTACATGGGGTGCTGGGGATCAGACCCAGGTTCTCATGCCTGCTGGCAGGCACTTTACCAGAAGAGCAGCCCCCCCCCACGCCGCCCCCATCATAACTCTTCTTAGAGTGAGAAATTTGAGTAAAGCATTGGTTTGTAATCACTGGTATTCTATGTTAGTTATTGTGAATCTTCAGGTGAGCATGTAGAATGCACTGGTTTGGCGCCTTTCTGGGTGAATGCAACACAGTCAAGTGTGGGGCTCTACAACTGCAAGGCCAGGGTAGGGAGTATGTCAGCCAACTAAGCAGGAGCACCCCACAAGCCATGTCCCAGACTCTAGATAGACACCAAAGCAAAGCAAAGCAAAGCAAAGCAAAGCAAAGCAAAGCAAAGCAAAGCAAAGCAAAGGACAAGGCAGCACTGGTATTAAGCTAAGCAACAAGCCTGGTCTGTTTCCTCCTACAGCTTTCAGTGCAAACGTCAAACAGGCACATTTGCTGAGCTTCGGCACCTACATCATGAAAATCAATTTAGACTTCTATTTCCAGTAGATGTCACAACTTATGTTTGTCTCCCTTTTTCTAAAGATCAGAAGTTATTTGAAATGTGCCTCCAAATACAAGTTGAAGGCTGTGATAGCCGTGGCTGTAGAGGAAGGGTTCCAGGATGGATATCAGGAGTCTGGGACATACTCTACTCAGAGGTAAGAAACCACCCCCCTTTGAGGGGGAGGTCTGCGAGGCCTAGCCATGCAGAGGATTTAAAATCTGGTCATCATCTTCTACCTTTCATGGTATTTGTTTCCAAGCTGTTTGGCCTGGAATCTGAGGAGACAAGTGCCTTTTCATGTTTTATACATTTTATTCATACATTTCTCCAACTTTGAAATGACGAAAGCCCAAGTCTATGGTTTCCCATTACACAGCATCCTACAGATATGTATATTCTACAAAGAATACTATGCAGTTTCTCTTCTTCCCCTGTCACACGAGATAACTGATTAGGGTTTCGACTTGTACTGTGCTGGCAGTGCCACCAGCATTGTGGTTGTTCAGGTGACAGGGCAAAGGGATTGGGATGGGAGGGCGTGTGCTAAGGCATGTAAATAGATACACACAGAGAGAAAGAAAAGCAGGACATTTACAAAGAATCCGAACCTTTCCAACCCCTTCAGCTCCTCTTGCAAGCTAAGGCTTTGCTGTACCCTGCGAATACTTACAATCGGATACGGTGAAATATACAACAACCATTAACATCTCTCTCTTTTTATCACTGAGACAATACTTCAGAACCTTTTATAAAAAGGCAATAATACATACAGAAAGAAAGAACACGTTGGCAAAGCTTTAAGCAAAACCACCCGAGAACCAAGTCTGAATGGCAATGCACCTACACTGCACTGAAACACGATGCTGTGGTCTCAGCACCACCTGCCTGCAGAGGACATCCCAGGCGACATCAAAGACTGGAAATCAACCCCTACCCCCCAATTCTTGGTCTCTGCCAAATGAAAAATAAAGGCAAGGGCACTCTCTGTGGAAGAATGCCTATGTCTACTCCCAAGCACAAGTCCTTCTGAGACTCTCTCCTGGTCCAGAAAGATGTACCCCTGGACCTCACTCTTTCCCATGCTATAGAAAATGGATTTATCTCGAAGCAGTAGCAAAGTGCCTAGGTTTTGTCCATACACAGAGCTGGAGTTGTGCTTGGGGGCTAGAAATGAGGTGGCCTATGTGGCTACACACATCTCCTTCCATTTTCTTTTGCTTGTTCCGTTTGCACAGGTTCATGGGAGTTAATGGAGGGTCAGATGATAGGCGGTGGAAGTCAGGCTGTGTGCTCCCATCCCTCTAACAGCTAAGACTTGGGGGATGGCTGCCCCAGGGATGCTGCTGCTCTCTCCCTACAGCTGCTGCTGCTGCTGCAGACCAAGGACACTCATAGGAAGTGTAGATGGGAAGGTTGGGGCACTCTACCTCTTTCCCCCTACTTCCTGGATGGTTGTGATAGCTGAACTTCACTCTGTAAGCTGGGCAATCTGAAACTTCCCACAAGTTTAAGGCAAGCACAGCCAATTGCACATTAGGTTTCACAGTATGGTCCTGTAGCCAGTGGTGCCACATAAAGAGGGAGATCCTGTGTCTAAAGGGGCCAGAAACGGGCAAGTGCGCCCAAATAAAAGCAGTGATGAGAAGAACATGCAACCATAGTGAAAGCCATAGTGAGAAGCAAAGCATCTTTCTAAAGGAATTAACCAGAGGGGCAGAACAAGGACGATGCCCACAGTAGCTTCAGTGTGCCTAGGCGTAGACAACCCTTGTTAAGAGACTAGACTGAGAATGCTGTGCTCAGTTCTGATAAACAATCAGCACTAGCTGCCCACCACATTGTTGACCCGAAACAAGGCGTGATGGGGGCTGCAAGGGGCTTTTTATGGAATGCTAATCAGCGCACCCTCTAGTCTTTCCAAGGAGACATTTTTATTAAGAATTCACTAACCGAGCAGTTTTCTCGATAGTGTTAGTGACAAGTGAAGCCTAATTTTGCCCTGCATAAGAAAATGATCTGGGATGCTCAAGGAACACCCCATCAGTGGGAGACAAGAAGAGAATGCTTTGGGCTGCTTCGTTCTTCAGGGTCAATTTCCATTCTGGGTAGCCTTCACTTCCTGGAGGGTGGCTCAATTGTCTGAAATTTGTTCTTCACAAACTGGTAGCCTTAATGAAGAGATACCTGACTGAAAAACAAGAGAACTCTAGGATGAAATGCTTGAAAAGATAACAGTAGCTTCAAAGGACGGTTTGGCCTGCCAGCCTGCTCCAGGCCTTGGATACCGAGAAGGGGCTACTTCCAGGGCTCTGTGCACAGTAGGGGACCCTGCAGCTTTACTTATTCTGCCACCAATAGGACAGGCTGAGATTCTGCCTTCTGAATGCAAATAGCAAGAAGTAGGTCAAGTGGATTCTTTGCCTTTCTGAGCAGGTATTTTAAACCATCTCACCTGACAGGGGCTGCACCTAAAAATTTCCAGATGAATTAAACTGAGTGGCACTTTCCTTTTCAGTGTTCAGATAGGAATACTATGCACGTGAGAAGTAATTACTGCCTTATGATTAGAAAATCAGGCCACTCCATCTTTTGAACAAAGGACTTAGGAGATCCAAGCATCCCATCTTGTGGTGTTGGGAATGGGGCTGGTGTGGCAGAGAGGACCCGCAATACAGCTTTCCCATACTTCAGCTGGCCAGTGATTTAGTTATCTTTGATCATTTGCTTTAGTATTTAAAAGGGTCTCTCTCTCTCTCTCTCTCTCTCTCTCTCTCTCTCTCTGTGTGTGTGTGTGTGTGTGTGTGTGTGTGTGTGTGTGTGTGTGTGTGCGTGGCTCTGCTGATGAGATGGAGGCAGTCGGGAAGCTTTTAGCTAAGTATCCTCTGATTGCTCCAGGTATGACTGTAATCATATTACTCTGACTTCAGAAGTGATTTCTTCTCTAGGTCATAAACACACTGCTTTAGAACATATGGCCTATTGGAGAAGTCACCGCATTCTAGGAGCAGGGTTTTCACCACCCACATAAGGGAAGGAAGGATGCTTGCCTGTGCTCTTCTTGCAGACTCCCCATAAGGCCAATGAGAAGTCCCCCAGGGCCTCAAGTGCCAGAGCACATCTCTCAGTGTGTGTGTGTGTGTGTGTGGGGAGTCACAGACATTTAACTGCGTCACTTTGCAGTATTATTTCTACCTGCAGGAATGTGGTAGATGGTTACAGACAAGCCTTGCCAGCATCTCTGGAGATTTGCTCTCAAGAGCATGTGGGAATGTGAGGGATTCTATCAGAGGGAGGGGCAGCTCTGTTTTCCATGTATTAGTTGTGGTCTTTTTTGTGCTTACTGGAAGAGGTAGAACAGGTCCAGGGCCCCTGGAAAGAGTGGCTTATGGTCAGTACTACTGCAGTAATGATGTCTGGCTGGGGCATCAGTTAGATCAAGGTCAGCGCTACACAGCCCCAAGCAACTCCTGGAATTTTCTCCTTCCACCTAGCAAGAGTCCACTGTTGAATCTGTTTCTGGTATGGTATTTGGTCCCCTACTGCAGGAGCAAACACAAGTTATTCTCACAGGATCTTGTTGGTAAGTTGTGACCCATATGGGCACTGACAAAGAATTGTCTACAAACAGAAACCAAGTGGCGTTGTGTACTAACAGCTGGGGAGGGTGGGATGTGGAGAATGGAAGAGGGGTATGAGTGTAAACATGCCTTCTCTGTTCATTGCCCAAGAGGAGCTGTTTAGCCCAGAACTCGTTCTGCACATCCTGCCAAGGCACAAAGTGACAGAGGCCATCTAAACTACAAGAGATGAAAGTGATGTTATGTTTTCAAGGACCAGAGTCACACCAATGCCTTATTCTCACACACACGAAGGGGAGACACTCTAGTGACCTCTGGCAAAGAGTCTGAGGATCCCAGCCTGAACCTCCTCCACTTATTCTGCCATGGCAGGAAATGACATGGTGAATGGTTCTAAAGCAACAAGGACAGGTAACTCCCCTGTGCCAAGGGATAGAGCAAGAGGAAGGAGAGACCACAGGTGGCCCTTCGAGTCAGATGTGCTCCAAGCTATGCTCTGGCAGGCTGCTTTGTTGCTTGGCCAACTGATACTCACTCTTGGGCCTTTGATGGGTCAGTGAGCATCCAACGAATTTTAAAACTGAACAGCTTACCAGCTTGGAGACCTGAACAAATCTGTAATGAAATGAAGGACCCAAAGGCATTTAATTATTGAACACATACAATGAAGTATATTTTTTAAAAAAAAAAATTGGTCAGACTGTCCTGTTAGTTATCATTTTAAAGGAATTTACAGAGCTGTTATAGATTATTCTTTTGGAATAATTCAGTTTATAGCAAATGCCTAAACTGGTTTCTTCATTGCACAGTATATTCTCTTTAAATGGGTGCTTAAAACAATTACACACAGATTAAAAATCCGCATTTCTTTGCTTAATTAAAACGTTAATACTCTTAGACAACACAGATCTGAAATGGCGAAACCAGCAATACCCCCTCCCACCTTACAACAAATTAAATTGAGACAAAATTACAAACACATTTCACTACGTGATTATTATTAATAAAAATCAGTTTCTTTTTTTTTCTGTTTTATAAAGTTGCCCGAAATGCAAGGGATGTGCATAGGTTTACAACTTAGTCATAATAGCAATTTATTCTTATTCCCCTGGGTGTGCCCCGTGAACGGAATGTACTTTGTTGTAATTACAGATTGTTTAGTCCAACACAGACACACCGACAGCATAAACGCTCGCGACTGTCCACATGCATTAAGAGTCAAGACCCAACTTCAAATCTCTAAAAGGTTTACAGGGTGCTTCAAAGAGACAGTATCACAGTATCTGGGTGTTACATAAAGGACTTCAAAAGAAGAGAGAGAAAAAAGGCCTTTAAAAATTTATGACTGTTTTGTAATCACTAGACTAATTATTTCAAATAAATAAAGGAAAGAAAGATATTCCAATCCATAAAATCAGACTCTAAAAAGAATGTAGTGTTCCACCCCCAGCCAAGGTAACAGAATCATTGTTTATTATTATTAAAATAGATTATAGAAAGCAGCATCTATTTTGTGCAGTTTTTAGGGGCCTTGGAAATAAAAAGCTATGATTTCCAAAAATATAACATTCCAAAGGATTGAATAATACATACATTTAAAGATACATTTTATTAAAGTTTAGGAGAACTGATTAAAAAAGATACTGTCTCTTTAAATTAGTGTGTAATTGTTTTTCTCCTCCTATCTATTCGGACATGACAATAATTATAAATGTAGGTCACACTACAACTAGGTAGTCTCTAGGGACCACGACCTGTTGACACAAGGCCGATAACAAAGAGGCTTTTCCACATAGGAGGCGTCTCCCAGTTTTATGCTCAGATAGCCAGGGAGAAGCCTAATAGACCCAGGAGACCGGAACCCACTGTGGGGCTGTGCACACGAGCTCAACAGCTTCCTCCAGATGTCTGATTGTCTCATCAATTTCGTTGTTGATAATTGTGAGATCGAAGTAGTGTGCATATGTTCTCTGTAAGACATCGGATTCCTTCTGCAGGCGCTGGAGAGATTCATCCTGCATAGGGTGGTATGGTAGAGGGGCAGGTATGGGAGAAAGGAAAAGCAAATATAAGAGAGAAGTCAGTCTTTCTCTTTCTATATTTCAGTTCATCCCAGTGTCAGAACAGGACAAAAACTAAACAATGGTGGGGAATGTGGCCAAGATGGCTGTGTAACAGAGGAGATGATGGTGCCTGTCCTGTGATGAGAAGGCTGTAGAATTGTACTGGCAAGTGTGACTGGTTGACATGCAACAGGGGCCACTGGGAAAAAATAGACAAAACCAACACTGCAGCAAACACATGGCCTCCACCAGGCCTATCTCCAGAGCCACCCTGGGGTTGGGGTGGGGTGGGGGAGGCCATGCAAAGCATGGGTTTCCAGTGGCTACAGTTCTTTCATCATTCCTCTAAGCCAGGGTGGACCAGAGCTACCTCCTACTTGGTGGGAGGACTAGTGTGGCTGCCTTGAACTCTTGGTCTCCTTCCCTTGGATCTTAAAGCTCATTTGAGCCCCTTATGTTAATGCTAACAAACCTTGTCTTTGGATAACAAATTAGGTTGTATTTTTTCCCTTATACCTAAAAGGTTTAGTGCATTCCAAGAATGGTATGTAATAGCCCTCATTTGACAGCAGTTCATGCCAGAGGCAAAGCTTTCTTAATGCTACAAATAATGGCTGTAATAAGGCCATTTCCCAACTGACATCTGAGGAATGTCCCCAAGTTGGTCTGTACTGGAAATGGTTAGGTAAATGTCACTGTTTACACAAACTCATGTCTCTTAAGAAAACAACTCCAAAGCCTTGAACTAAGAAGGCTTGCTGAAGGATGACACCCCTGTACACAGGGGGCCTCAGACCATCAGAATTCTCCCCAGGCTGAGCCAACACCAGGAGGGAATTTGGGGTTTCCAGTTTGTCCTATAAATATTGCTTTGCTTTTTAAGCCAGAGTCTCACTATGTAGCCCAGGCTGGCCTGGAACTTGGAATCCTCTTGTCTTAGCTTCCCAAGGACTAGGATTATAGGCACAAGCCATCACACCCACCCTGAATACTCTTTTAGTGCTCTAAAGAGCCACCAGGAAGACAGTCCGCTTCTCTTTTCTATGGGTCAAATCTCTTCTCTTCCCTTCCCTTCTCTTCCCTTCCCCCTTTCTTTCTTAGACAGGGTTTCTCTGTGAAGCCCTAGCTGTCCTGGAACTTGCTCTGTAGACCAGACTAGCCTTGAATTCACAGAGATCCACCTGCCTCTGTCTTTCTAGTGCTGAGATTAAAGGCGTGCCATCCACACCTGGCTGGGCAACTTTCTTATGCTGAATTCACAAAGGTCAAATTCAAATTTGACTTTTGTGAGTGAAATTAACTACAAGTTTTTTGTTCTACCTGCCAAACACTAGGTAGTTGTAAACGATTAGTTGGAGTCTTACAAACACACACACACACACACACACACACACACACACACACACACTTCCTTCTGCCCTTGGGAGTAGACAGGTACAGAGTCTCTATGTAGCTCAAGGGAGCCTTATTCCATATACATATATGTACATATTTATAGCCATATGTTTATTTGATTACTGCCCCTCTCCTCAGCCAGGGCATAAAGACTTGTATTGCATGTTCTGCCATTGCTGTGCCCCAGAGCTCAGTGCACACACACACACAGTGGGTGCTTAATAGAGGGTATTGAGAGAACAAGCATTTTTTTTGACTGATACTGGTCCCTTTAGGATTTTTCTAAGTGTTAAGTCTATTATCAAGAAACTGGGTGATTGCACTAGGAAATGGGGTTCAGGGTTACAGAGTCTGGTCTCTAGACAATGTCAAAATACCATCAGGGACCAAGGAGTGCTGGGTACCCAGCCCTGGCTCAGGGTACAGCTCTCTGGCAAGGACATGAGCAGGGAGGAAATTCTATTCCAGCCCTGTGCAGGACAGACAGACACCAGAGCAGCCAGGAACTCAATATTCCTTATGTGGACATTCTGAGCAATCAAAGTCTACTGGTCTAGTCATCCTCTACAGGACTTTCAAAGCAGAACACAGCATGCTTTGAGTGTTCCCATGGCTAGTGGCTGAGGTCACTAGTCACCTTCTGAGGTCTCAAATACACACACACACACACACACACACACACACACACACACACACACACACACACTGTGCTTGTACCTGAAAAGCATAGTATTTTCACTGCGGCTCAGTTTCGCAAGAAAAACCTCCCCCTTTTCAGCAAACATGTCTTCACCAGAGGCAGGAGTGCTTCCTACCAGTCCCTGGAGGCACAGTTCCTAAGAAGTCACTCTGTGCCAGGGAGGGTTCTATGTGCTAGGTGGTCCTGGGCCTGGGACACTGCTGGCAGGTTCTGGTTTCTTCAGAAGGTTGGGCCGATGCAAACATTCAAGGGAAATTATGCCTAGACAGAGTTCTCTTTATGGGAAAACAAAGCTCCCTTGTGTCTGCATCCTCTGAGGTGAGGCTTGGTCACCTCCGTTTGCAGCAGCTTGTTCCCTCACATATAAGCAGGGTTAACTCAGTGAAAACAAAATGCCTTTATTCTAACAGCAAAAGCAAGGATTTATGGGAACAAAATGTCTACATTCTACAGCTATTAAAAGACACAGGCTGTATGTAATCACCTCCTAGCTGGTACTTACAGGCAGTTTTCTGCACCATTTTGGCAGCTATGGAAAATTAGTAAAAGGGAAGGACAACAGGCAAAACAAACAAACAAAAAGAAAACAAAGCAAAGATGATAATTCAAGAAAAATACATAGTAACCAAGGAAAAACATTAACCACAATGAGGAGTTTCAAACACACACGGAAAAGTAGAATTTTACAAAGGAATATGCCTTTTGCCAATGAAATGACAAAAAAACAGAGACTGCAAATATGAACACTAAAGGTCAATCTAAGCATTAAAGGTACCCACAACTTCCAAGCCTCAATCTAACTGTACTGAAAATATGGCTCAGCACTCATGGACATAGTCGAGAGTCTGCTGATGCTTTCTAGAACCTGTAAAATCATGCTCTTCAGGATAACTGCACAGGAGCATCTTCCTAGCTCAGGACCACAGGACGCAGATGTGCTTACACCATCAGCATAAGCTACTGCCCTTACTCCCCAGGAAGAGAGCCTTTGAGAGGGCTTGGTAAGACCTGGGCCAGCCTGGCAACTGCTGAATTGAAAGCACCCAGAATTTATTCCTTTTGTGGTGCTGGGGATAGAACCTAGAACAATGTTGATACTAGGCAAGCGAGAAAGGAGGCTCCCTGCTCAGGGCAGCTCATTTCTAGGTTTGGTAGTGTCTAGGGGTCTTCACAGGCAGGGGGATCCTGGGCAGTGCCATCAACATCACAGATTCCTTATAGCCTCTCTTGGCTCCAGGGGCTGCCACTGTTTTATTACAATCTGGGCAGGGAGGCAGTAGACTAGCTAGCTGCCCTGGAGGGCAGGCTCTGCTGGGAGCACCTCGATCCTTCAGAACTGAGGGTGTTTCCGCTTGTACTTCAGGAGCAGATGTATTGATTAAGGTTGCAGGCTGTCCCACTGACTGCTCTAGTTCATATCAGATCTCCTGGAGCAGACTTCCTGCTGCAAATGGAAACTGATATGCTGGAGGCTAGAATCTGTTCTGATCGCAGAAGAAAACCCTGCTTCTGCATTCTGATTCCAAATACCGAATAAGGCCCTGTACTCTGGAAATCAGAGTGCCCAGTGAAGGAACAAAGCAGAGCCTTGCTCAGGCATCTTCAAGACATACACACTCCTTACCACAGAGCAAGCTTATCTGGAGGAGAGTGACTTTACTCTTACCTCATTTAAACCTGGAGTGATGGTTGGCGCCGCAATGAAGACAACGAAAGGAGCGAACTCAGCAGTCCTCAGGACCTTCAGTGCCTGTGTGGAAAAGAAAGGCACTTAGAAGAAGAAATAACCAAGATAACATGCAAAGGAGCCTACAAGATGTGACACAACTGAAAAAGTCAAGGCCTTGGTTCAGGTTTTTGGCAAGTAATAATTAAATGTACCAACTTTCTAAGTAATGTTCCTCTCAAAGGGTGGACAACAGCTTAGAAAATAGGAGCTGACAAACTGGACATGCTTCTTAGGAATCTCATGACTTTGTTGAGTTTACTTTTCTTTGTAGTAGTGAACACTGACTATGTCGGTTAATGTTCATTTAAACCTGGTGATTGTATGAACTACATTTAGTTGCTCTGCAGGTTGCCTTCACGCTGATTGGGAACTCACTTTGTCACATATCAAATTGCACATTGCTAACCAAAGACAGCCACCATCACTGTGTGGACTGTATTCACATTTACATTGGCCTTCGGGTGAAAGGCTCCCTGTGGGACTCATGGGAGAAAGGGAGACCCTTGGCCAGGGCTATAATCATGAAATCTTTCCACTAAAGACATTGTGTGGTTGTGGTCAATAACTTGACCCATGTGAGGACATGGATTCAAGAGGAAGGCCCTCTGATGTTACTTCCAGTGCCTTTCCAAAATGCGGCAAATCTGTGCAAATGACTAGTTTGCAGAGATGAGCAACAACTCTGCATGCTGTTTCTGTTCCTCTCCTGGGAAGCCATGGTACTCTCACAGGTAATAAATACCCACCCAAGTACAAAGCTGACCACACCCACATACCTAACCCACACATGACTAACATGTGAGTGACTCACAGGCATCAGGAATAAACACCTTGCTGCTGTCTAATTTTAGTTTCTTCCCCCTAAGACAGGGTCTTAGTATATACAGGCTGGCCTCAAACTGGCAATCCTGTGTATCAGCTTGGAATTCCGTGTGTACACCACTACACCAGACTGCTTGCTGCTTATGACACAAGAACCAAACACGCCTATTTTGTTACCTATATATTTTGCTTTCTAAATGATCTTTTGTTTGCTTTCCCCTCTTTCTTGGGCTCCATCCTTAGCCTGCTTTATAGTCCCACCCTTAGCCTGATTCTCTACCTCTATTTTGGGGGCTTTAAAATTTATATTCCAATCTATTGCTAGATCTTTCTGAAACACAAGCTCCATCTTCCCCTCCTGATCTTTCAATAGCTCCTTCTGCATTGCAGGAAAACACATAAAGCATAAAGGCTGGGTCCCATGTTTAACCTCTTCTGCCTAGCTCTGCTCCATCCACTGGGTGGACTGATTTTACTGAACAACTTTCAGTCCTAGAAAAGGCCCAGCTCTTTCTGGCTTCTTGGCCCTTTTGCTTGGTGCTTCCTCTACCTGGACGTCCCACCCTCCCTTCCCACTCTTTCCCACTGTCCCTTCTGTTTGCCTGGATAATACTTCAGAATCTACTTTCTGAAAAACTTTTTTGAACACAATCTCATATAGACAAGAATGACTTCCAACTTCTAATCCTCCCGCCTCCATCTTCCAAGTGCTGGGATTATAGACATGACTAGTTTTATGCAGTGGTGAGGGTTCAATCTATGGCTTCCTGCACTCTAGGCACACATTTTATCACTGAGCTGGACCTTGAGCTCCAGATCCTCTTGTGTTGCTGATACCACCACACCTGGCAGTTTCTTTGGAAAGTTTACCATTGGGTTCTGAGGCCCTGTTGTGTTGTGTATTTCTAAGTACCCAGCAATCACACTGGAAACAGTCACTGGGGGTGGTTTGAGGGCAAAGGCTGTGTCTTGTTCAGTTGTTTGTCTTTTACTTAACATGGTACACCATAAACTGCCTTTATGATTTAGTAAAAATGTAAAAACAGTAAATCCAATCTGTACAACACTTCTCCAGGTCTTTGAAGCACGTCTAACTGGAGAGCCACTCCTCTGAGCACACAGAATTCTAAGATCCAATCTGATACTGAGTATAAGCCCTGAGTGTACTAGGATTCTAGTTCTAGAGTTTGGTCGAATGTCTTTGGGTAGGTGAGGGGAACCTGGTTCACTGTCTTATTTGCCCAGATCTCTTTACTGGGCAAGCCACAGGCTCAGAATGCTTTCCAAGCCTGCTCATGTTCACTTTTGATAGACATTGCTGCCCATTTCTTTGTTCACCTGATGTGACTGAACACGATTCAAGTAAGCCTAATCAGGGTCCTCACTTAGAAATGTCCATTTTGTCACTATTATCTTGGGTCTTTGTTTCTTCCTTACTATGTTCTGCCAGCAAAGGAATACAACTTCAGGCAGGATATAAGGCTTTTTCATCATTTCCAATGGATACACACACACACACACACACACACACACACACACACACACACACACACACACACTTTTCTCTCTGTCACCTAAGATGTGGAAAAGTTTTTCTCCCTGAGGTACCTCTGAGTGCCAGATGGAAGTGTGCACAGCCTGTATCCTGAATGGAATTCACAGAGGACAACGATACCCCACGTGAGATGGTTTTCTTCTTCTTAGTCACCCACCCTGCTAGCCAACCAATCCTGTGAGTGCATTCAATTCTAGCCTGCCACCATGCTACTGCAGAAACAAACTCATTCCTTGGAAAGCAGCAGTTTAGCTCACAGTGGACTAGCCATACATGCACTGTGCTGCCATAATTCTACACTTGTAAATAAGGAGGGCCTCCTGACTCTTAACTGCAATGAAGGCTGTGTTCATCACATTTCCACAGGTTTCTTGTACCCGAAAATCAGCTCTAGGTGCCCCCTGCAACCCCGCAGCTGACAAAGTTTAGAACCAAATTTAATGCTTAGCATAATTACTACATTAGTTACCATATTCCTCCCCTGTCTTTTCCATGTGTTCCTATTTCTTTCCCGTATTATTGTATTTTCCAAAATTCCAATGTGCCTCAAATCCCAACTGCACCTTTCTTGTCTTGTTAGGCTTCAGTTTCAGCATCGCCACTACACATCTCCACATTTCTTTCTGCCAGTCTCTAGCCTCACATCCTGTTCTAGTTAGGGTTTTTAAGCAGGAGCCATTTTAGGTTCAGGCTCTTGGGAAATTCATTGTCAAGGGACAGAACAGGAGATGGAACTGCTCATGAGTGCCCCCTCAGGTGGTTAACATCAGAGTTAAAGATGAACTCCAAACCTCTGATTTAAGGGGAGACACAAACTGGTTAATTGTCACAAGTAAATCTCTCTTTCTGAGAGGGAGGAGGGGAAGAAAGGGAGGGAGGGAGAGAGGAAAGAAGAGAAGGGAGAGAAAAAAGGAGAGGGGAGGGAGGGAGAGAAACAGACACAGACAGACAGACTGAGAGAAAACCACACTCTAGAAAAGCCATTGGGAACATACTGGATTCAAATAATCACTAGTTCCATACTAGATTTTAAAAAGTATTCATTTATGAGAGGCAATTTGTGGAGATAAATTCATTTTTCTAGTTCATTTATGTATGGCCAAGAATTAATCTTAGGTTATCTTGCCAAGGAAAAAGAATTAATTTGACCCAAGGACCTATGATGTGGGTCTCATTAGACTAATGCAGTTGCAAAGTTACAAAGTATGCAGGGCAAGCAGCCCAGTTATTCTTGTACACAATGCTTCAGGAAGAACAGTGATAACCAAAGAACAGAATGGCCTTTGGCTCTTGTTTATGTCTCGGTACTGAGGATGGAACCTAGGATCCTCCAGCATGCTAAGCAGTGCCCCTACCAAAGAGCTAGGCCCCCGGCCCTGACTCTTTTTGTAAAGTTTATGTTTCTACTACATTTGTAATTTATCTCTGGATGACAACTTTTCTCTCTTTGGGCAAAGGCAAAGCTACAAATATTCTGCCATTTGGATATAGAATCTGAGTATTTAGTCTAGGGTGGCCTTGAATTTATGATGGTCCTGCCATAACCTCCTGAGTATTATAGGCATGCACAGCTGTTCCCAGCAATTAGTATTAACTTTGCAACACTTCTGACTGGTAAATCAGAGCACAGTTCAACTTAAAAACCATCATATTAGGCTCCAATTCCCTACTAGTTTCTGCGTTATTGGCATATAGTTGTTCCTCAAGTTTTATTTCCAAGAGAAATGAGCTTTATAGTATATTTTTTCAGTTTCATTACCCTATACATTTTATAGATGTTAAAGAAAAAAAAAGATTTAAATTGTGGTATTACGTTTAGGGTGGGAGACCTAGAGGGTACCTAAGGTTGCCTTGCCTACGATGGCATACAAGGTTGGGATTTATCATAAAAAGGTAAAAACACAACACAGTTCAAAGCTCACTTTCTCCTGGATGGAGAAGCTTGGTTGACTATAGTTACATTAAGGTGTTTTCTTCACCTATGACAGTAGATAGTGGTAGAGTTCCTGAAGCTTACGAAGATGGGCACTACAGGGATATACTTTCTTGCTATTTTGAAAGCAGCCAGGATACTGGTGTACTTTTTTTTTCTAGTGTAGTATCATTGCCATGGCCCTCTAGACTGAAGTTGGACCACCACATTTTATCATTTAGTAGTGGTGCTCAAATTTAACCTCACTTGCCTGAAATAGATTAAGATGGCACAAAGCGTTAGACATGTCTAAAGGCAGCTGAGCACCAGTGTTAAGTGGTCATCCACTGGGCCACTTATGGGACAAGTGGCTTCAGCTGTAGTAGATGCTGACCAGATTTAAACAAGAAAAGCCACTTCCTCTTTTGGAGTTTTTGAGGTACATGCAGGAAGGAATTACATCCTCACCATCTTGTCTCCTTAACTGCATTCTTAGCTCTTGGCACACAGCCTGGCTTATTAGTACAAGTGTGTTGAATCAGACTGAGATACTGTATAGGCCTCAATCTAAATAGCTGGGATGGGAAAGGAGCATGGAGGAAAACATTCTAAGAACAAGGCCCTGCCTGAAAATAAGTCATTCATGGCCACAGACATCCTGAAAGTAGGACGAAGGTGCTCCCTAGCCCTGGAGAGAGTGGGCTGAGGGCAGGGAGGCCCAGAGGAACCCTCTTAGTGTAGACTCCATAGATATCCCAGATTGTACTGCCATACACAGCATCTAGCTAGGATAGATGCTAGGAGTCTAGACTGGGCAGGAGAGCCTGGGACCAAAGTGGTCAACCAGTCCATACAGGGGCCAGATGGCCCTGGGCCATCCTAGGGCAGAGGCCAGGATGCTTAGGGCCCGCCCTCAAGGGCCAGATCACAGTTGTGAGAGGAGGGGAAACAGGAAGCAGGAGAGGAAGTACAGGTGAGCTCATCCAGCAGTCAGGGCAGCAGGGGCCAGTGTGCCCGGCAGGAGGAGGTGCCGGGCCAAGTGCAATGGAGAAAGGATCTGCTGTGGACGTCCTGATGAGGCTGAGAGATGGGTCTCCCGCTCAGCAGTGCAGAGCAGTGCATGGCTGTGCAAGGGCAAGGGACAGGGACAGCTGGGTGCTATGAGTGGAGCAGCAGCGGCAGCAGCGGTGGTGGTGGTGGTGGTGGCGGCGGCGGTGGCAGCAGCAGCAGCAGCAGGGAAGGTAGAAAGCCCTTGGAAGTGGCCTGAGGTAATGCAGAGGGATCTGAGGAGCCCTGCAGCCAGCATACTGCTAGAGACATTACTACCAGCAGAAAACGACGTTCAGGTGAAGACCAGTGTGGAACCCAAGGAGAGGATGTCGAAGACCAGGACCAGGATTGAGACTTTGCCTCTAGCCACCCCTGGCCAGAAGATTTTTCCAATCCCTAGTAAGGAGGGATTAGTAGTTAAACAAAGATCAATCTGCGTTACACATCATCATATTTAGTTCTCTATAGGTCCAAGTTAACCATTAAGTAAACTACAGTGTTTACCCTATGGTTGTACTCCTCCCTAGCCCCTAACCAGATCCTATTGTGATTTTGGAAGTTCTGAGTTCAAGAACCCCACTTGGTGCTGTAATGAAAACGGATTAAGCTATTGGCCACGGGTTAGACTCTTGGAGCCCAGAAATGGAGCCATCAGGGCCCAGGCTACACAGACCATAAATCTACTGATTTAGGGATGGCTATGAGAATAAGTCTCATGCAGTGACCCCTCAAGAGGGCTTTTCCCTGTCTGGGACAGGTACATAAATCTCCCCCTGCTGAAATAGAGCCTACTCAACCAGGGGCATTTCTCCGAGTCTCAGCAGGCAGCAGACCCATTCTAGTCTAAGTGATGAAAGGCGTGGGGTATAGATTCATCTTAGAAATGGCACATCTGAGTCCTAAGGGTCCCCCTCAGCCTGTCCTGTAACTTCCTCTGATGTCATCAACCCCAAGTCATTTTCCTTATGTTTAAGCCCCACTACTACTTGGTTTATGCTCAGACATGAAAAATTAGCCTGTCAGCATTTCTGTTGTGCTTGTGGAAGCTAAGCATGTGCCCACCTTACCGATGAGCTACAGTGATGTCAATCCCTACACGAAGTCTTCAACCTTCTCTTTCTCAAGTTCCATCATTGCCATTGCCTCCTACATAAGACTTGGTTACAAATCATGAAACCAATCATCTTTGGGTCTAGTTCCTTTTTGAGTCCCCCCCCCCAAGGAAAGGAAATAGCAGAGGCTGAGAGCCACCTGGGCTCTTAATCCCTGCATCATCTAACCCTGGGTGAAAGCACTCACAACTACTTTCATGAAAGCTAGGGCTGTTTCACACCCAGACCTCCAAGATCAGTTTCTCATAAATGATCAATGTAAGATATTGCCAGATGCTCTACTGGTCCAGAATGGGCTGTACCAGGACATCAGAGGTGGGCTGCCGTGTAACAAACTGCCACAGCCTCATCCTGAGGTCGAGGAAGTGTAGGATTTCTGGCAGGCACAGACCCAAACGGGTACTACACGGAGCTCCTGAGTATAAGCCGAAGAAGAGAACAATGTGCTTCTTAAAAGCATGCTGGGTGCACTGGGTTCAGTGACTGGTCAGTTTACATCCTAGACTGTTGACCCAGGCAGCCTTGAGAAATGAAATTTTCCTGTGGCTTAGAAAACGTTTTCCGAGACCCCAAACTTTTTGATGGTATTTTGGATTTCAGAATCTGAGCTTATCAGCATGCAGGCAAGATGGAGTGGGGTTCAGGGTGGCTTGGACATTACCTGAGGCTCCACGTCCAGTATTGCAATCAGCCCCTGCTCATGGATTTTCCGAATGGTCTCCAGTTTTGTTCCATACATTGCATCCTCGTGGCTGCCATACTCCAAGTACTCATTATTTGAGATGTCTTGCATCATTTGGTCATGAGATACAAAGTAGTAATTCTTGCCATTTTCTTCATCTTTCTTTGGAGGTCTGGTTGTATCTGCAAAGTTCCATTCATGAGAGATTTAAACGGCTGGATTGATGAATTATACTCCTAGCAGACTTACTGAACTCATTTACTCTGTGTGTGTGTGTGTGTGTGTGTGTGTGTGTGTGTTTGTGTGTGCGCGCGCACGTAAGCGCACTCGCACGCGTACTGAGATCCAGGCAAGCAGTCTACTCCTCAGCTGTAAACTTAGCTCCTCAATTGTTTCATAAAAGCTGATTAAACCAGGTATGACAGCACACAGCTGCAATTTCATCATTTGGGAGGCAGCAACAGGAAGATTACAATTCCAAGGCCAGCAAGGGATACAAGAGACCTAGTCTCAAAAGAAAAACAAAAGCTGTTGATTCTTTACATTGTCTCATATCCTCTGTTTCCAGTATGTTGTAGAAGCAATTTAAAAACCATATTTATCTATGTAGAGCAGCATATCAGATTTTTTTTCCTATGGTTTGTTTGGTGAATATTTCAGTGTTGTGAGATGCATTTCACACTGCCCCCGGAGGAAAGACATGAAGTGACTGTGATAGAGTCAGGTATTTGAACACTTGGTCCCCTGTTGGTGGTACTGTTTGGGGAGTTTGGCCCTTGCTAGAAGAAATATGTCACTTGGGACAGAATTTGAGACTCATAGCCTTGCCCTATTTCTAGTTTGCTCTCTCTGCTTTGTGCTTGAGTCTGGAAATGTGATCTCTCAGCTTCTTGCTCCTGCTGCCAAGTCTATCCTGCTATGATGGACTCTCACCCCTGGAACTGTGAGCCAAATAGACTCTTTTTTTTTCTGTAAGTTATTACAACAACAGAAAAATAACTAATGGAGTGACCCAAGATTAACATAATTCACTAGCCCTTAGCTTACTTGGGTCCATGCAGAAGGAAGAAAGGATAAAAGAATGGATAACTACATGTTGCTATTTACATTTAAACAAGTGATGGTGACATGATTCAGTTTCTTCATTTCACTAGCCATATTTCAATGGCTGAAGAGCCATGAAGGACTACTCAACTGGACAGTTTAGATACTGACACTTTTCCTAGATAGTGTTAGTCTATACCACTCAACAATGAGAATGTTTGTTGCAATATAGCAAAAGGCACATCATACTGAAAACACACTGGACTTAAAGGGGTGTGGATATGCTTATCATAGAAGAATTGAACCAAAAGGTGAGTCAAGGAAGTCGTGAACTGCTTTATAGGTCAAATGGTCCTTCAGAGATATTTAAAAAAAATTTTTTTTGAGACAAGGTTTTACTTTGTACCCCTGGCTAGTCTGGTTTTTGGTATGTCATTCTGGCTGTAATCAAACCTGTAACTTATTCTGGCTTCTCTCTGTTTCCTGGCTTCCATGAGATTAGTATCTTTGCTCTGCTATATGCTCTTGCTATCATTGTATTCTGTCTCCCCACAGACCCACAGCAATGGAGTAAGCCAGCCACTGATGGACTGACATCTCTGAATTGTGAGCCCTAAATCTCTTTGTTCTTTTAGGTTGTCCCCCCCATGTATTTGTCATATCAGCAAAAGGCTAACACAATTGGACATACATACACAATACTGTCTCTATCTTCCTTCCCTGTTTTTCCTCCCTACTTTTGTTCTCTCATCTTTCAACTTCCTCCCTTCTGTATTGCTTCCTTCCTTTCTTCCTTCAATAAGGACAACTTTATGCTGCTTTGCTGAATACATGGGCCAACCAACTCAAAGAGGATGCTTTCTCTAGTTACACTGGAAGCGTAAGTTGGCATACCTAATCTTCAGTTATCTTAGGTACATTATAGCAGGTAATGTACAATGCATGTAATGCATATTGGGGTCAAGTATTTAAGAGATCAGACATGGTTGATATTACCAAAGGTAAGTTTTAAAACTAAGCTACTTAGCTGAACCATGGTGGTATACACCCTTAATCCCAGCACTTGGGAGGCAGAGGCAGGCTCTGTAAGTTCAAGGCCAGCCTGGTCTACAGAGTGAGTTCCAGGATAGCCAAAGCTACATAGAGAAACCCTGTCTCAAAAGACAAAACACAAAATAAACCAAAACTAACCTGAATCAAACCAAATAAAACTAACAACAACAACAAAAACTAAGCTACTTAACTAGACATTTAATAACCAGGAAGTTCAAATACTATGTAATCAAGATGAAACTAAACATTACCCAAATGTAATGTAGTCATGATACAGACATGAGAATTGAATGAACATTTCAAAATGCTTGAGTAGAAAATCGCAGTAGCACCAATTGCAATACCCAGTAAGCTTTTCTTATGTTAACCCGTGGAATTCAGAGGGCTCCTGGTGTACATTGACCTTGTCTCAAAGAGGCTTCTGAACACTCAGCAGGGAGGAGCCAGTCTTAACATTTAGCCGTGGCTGGCTTCAAACATGCAGGGGTCCTATTGTCTCTGCCTTTTTTGTCCCGGAGTCACTCATTCTCCCTTAGCTCTGCCTATCCTGCCTACCTTCTGGATCGTTTTTTGGAACTGAAATGTCAACCTCCAGAATAATGATGTGAACAATAAAATGATAGGTCAGATAGCTATGACTTAGACAGCATCTGCTTCATATACATACTCTTGAACCTTTGTACAACAATGAGATTACTCCATTTCACAGTTGTGGAAATGAAAGAGGGCAAGAGGTTAGCAATAGGAAGTAGACAAGTAAAGGTGATTGAAAAACATTACAGATTTTAATTCCTTATACTAAACAGAGAGTTCACTGACTGGGCTTTAAAAGTATAAGTCAATAATGTAGATAATGATTGGCAGAAACATGATTGTATCACAGAAAAATATAAAACAGTTAAAGCTTCTTTTCTAAAAGAATCTTTCATCTAGATAATGTTTATGACATACTGTTGGGGAAATTAGGTTCCAAACAACATGGGCAAGACTAATGCTCTAACTCCCCACTCTGCATATGTTGGCATTAAGAGAAGCCTGGAAGGGGATTTAACCAACATTTATGGCACTTAGTATTTGAAAAATGAGTTTGAATTACCTCATTTCCTTCATTGCTCTTCTTTTGGATTTTACAAATTTCCTATAGTACACACTTATTATTTATGTAATTTGGAAAGTATGCATATTACAATGATAACAACATGGTAGGATAAAAAAATTCAGATTGATCCATTGCTTACGTGGAATAGGGTATGCAAACCGGTCCGGGTGCTTTGTGATGAGGGTGTTTTTTATGTGTCTTCTCCCAACACCATGTGCACCTATGCAATTTTTGAAAAGAGTGATAAAATTAACAGCTAGTAATAACATTTGAAAAATGCTTTGGAGGTGAGAATAACCAAGCTAAACTTACCTAATAAGACCAGTGTTTTCCTTTTGAATGCTGGAAGTTTGACTACTTCTTCATATGTGACGAGATCTAATTGATCAAACACTAAAATGCAAAGATTTAGAAGTTTATGGGATGGATATTTCATGGAGGTGAATTATAATTTTATTGGAAAAACTTAAGTTACAGTGACACCATGAATCCTGCTTATGATATGGAGCTTACATATGATTTAATTCACAATTGCCACTATGGGAGAAAGTTTCATTTTTTTAAGCCCATGAAAATGCACTTGAGAACCAGGAACAACCGAAGAGATGATGAGTACATGCATGAAAGTCCAATTCTAAATTTCATAGTTTTTCATGCAGTATTTCACAAATCATTTGAGTTGACTGAGAACCACATGCTGTTCATCTTTTCACAATTCTAAGAAATTAACAATGTTAAAAAGAAAAAGTCTTTGGGCAGCAACCAACACAAGTAGACCATGGGTGCAACTGAAGTTAAGCGAGTATGGGCCAGCTGTAGCACTTCCAGTGATGGGTGAGAAATGCATGGTCACCCAGTTTTTATTTAATGTTATTTCTCTTTTATTACTTCTTCAGAATTGATGGAGGTGGCATGTTAGAATCTGTCAAAGCCAGGTTCTGGATGGATTTTTATAAACTTTTAATAGAACATTTCACAAATTTTACTGTAACTCAGGTCTTGGGAAGGCATGGGTTTTAAGCAGGGAAACATGCATTCCTGGCCCGGAAACCATGTCAGCCATTAATTATATGGGACGCTATGTGATAAATCAGGATGGATAGGATGGAAATAATCACGGAGAGTCTGAGCTTTGAAACCTTTGAGAAAGGGGTAGTTGTTTAATTATTATAGACAGAGAAATACTTTAAAAGTTTCAGAAATGCACCTCTCAACAACACTATGATGAGAACAATCTCAAGCAACATGGGGAAGCTATCATAGTGAATGCTCATTGCTATTGAAAGGGTCTGATTTGAGAGAATTTGAAAATTCTCATGAGAAGGCTGAAATCAGACATCTGCATTTCCTATAAACTACCCACCCATGGTTATACCCAACTATTATCAAGTACACAGTGAGGTTTCCTCTTAAAATATTGAGTTCCCCCCAGGATTTCAGAGGGGTTGAATAATTCAGTGAAGTGGATGTCACAGTTGAATCATGCAGAGAGCTTCTGCTCCCTGAAACAATATGGCCAAATGAGCTTGGTCCTTAACTTTTGTGATCTGCACAGTAGCAAAGAACCTTATGATACAAAAATAAGATACCATGGAATATAATAGATCACAAACACATAAATGAATGAAAGGCATCATTCTCAAAATATACAGAGAAAGGAATGTAATATATTAAAATAAAGATTAGTGCATCTTAATGGGTCTTTGTGCATTTGTTTCCTTTTGATAAGTTGATTCTATAAAAGTTGAGTAAAAAAGTCTTTAGGCCGTATTCTCTAGCAATAGTGTATATTGGAGAAAAGTTTGCAGAATGGCATGGTCACAAAATTAAAATGAACATGAGACTCCCTATGGTAGAGCTAGTTTGCTGTGCTACAGTCATAATGCAATGACGAGGATTGCAGAAGTAAAAGCAGGAGTGCTTATGGCATTGCTTTCTGTACCTATTGCCTTGAATGGTATTTCCATTGAGGAGAAGTGTGCTTATGGGAAGAAGTCACCAGCAAATTGACATGTTTTAAGCTATGCAAATCATCAAGTAATTCATGAAAGCGCAAGATGATGAAGACACAAAGTTTTCTGAAAGGCAGACCTCCCTCTCTAGAGTTTAACTTGAGTCTTGCTTATTTACTCTTTTCTCATTTTCTGAAAGTACATAAGTTAGGGACTAACAATCAACATACCACAAATGAATGAACAGATAGGTTAAACGTTAGAATCTTAGCTATGAATGAGTAGCATGAAGAGGTTACTCTGGTCTAAATAAAATTGCCACAAAGTCATAGGGTTGCAAAACAAAGCAAAATGGGATATTTGAAAACAAGAGATAACAGGGATATTAGAAGAACACTTAAAGACTGCACTTTTAAAGGGTTTAAATTGCTTGCTGATTAAAGAAAAAGGACTTAATAAAATAAAATCATCAAAAACACAAAGACATAGTCATTCAACAGGTTACTTACATGCACAGAGGCCATTGGGAGTGAGACAGCATGAAAAATGTACAGGGGTCATTGAAATATGACTTTTCATATATTAGTAAAATAAAAGTATAATAGGCACAAAATAAACTTTGTCATGCAATATTTTAAACACAAGGTAAATAAACCACATTGAGAAACAAACTCATTTTAATATAAATTCAATCATACCCTTATATAAAAGCCAGTGGATTTTATATGGTAGTGTGTGTATAGAATTTGTGTGGGAATGATAAGAAACCCTTTTTTAGAGAGAATAAATGCAGGGGCCTTTTACTTTTCACTTTGTGCATTCCTGTACCACCTGCAACTTTGAGTTATATGTGCCTATTAGCTCATTATTATTGTATTTTATGGTTCTAGGGATCAAACTCAGAGCTTTGCCTTGTACATGCTAATAAAGTGCCCTATCACCAAGCTATACCTCTAGCCCTGCAGTCATTAAAAAAAAAAAAAAAAAAAGCCAATGTCAGTGAGGTTATAGGCCACTTTTCTTCATGATAGTTTAAAAAGGCTAATTACTACTTTGTAGTATTAAGCAAAATTTAAACACAGAATGTATACTATTCCAGAAATCATCTAAGTTCATATACACCCATATAAGCAGTATTTTTAGGACATTAAATACCCTTGTTCTAATGTCTCATGTAAAAATGCATACAGATTTCCTAATTTGTATAAAAGGTTAAGTCAGTAACTCGAACTATAAGTGACTTTAAAAAAAATGTGCATTGATGTTTTGGCTGCAAGTATGTTTGTGTGAAGGTATCAGATCTTACAGTTAGGGAAAGCTGTGAACTTCCATATGGGTGGCGGGAACTGAACTTAGCTAGGTCCATTGGAATAGCTGTCAGTGTTCATAACCACTGAAGCATCTCTCCAGCCCCCTAAAAGTGACTTCTTGAAGTCTTGGGTTTAGGAAGCTCAGTGCATTTAGAGTATGGTTCTAGCGGGATGTCAATACTGTTTGCATCAGATGCTTGTGGCTAAAAGGAAAGTCTCATGAGTTTGCAGAAAGTGCATTTGGTGTAACTGCTACACATACCATAATCCAATTCATTCCCAAGAATTCAGAAATATATCCTGGCGTACTTTGTTTATATTTCTCTGATTTCCTGGTAAGCTACTTAACATTTCAGGCACTTAAATATTTAAGCAACTATTTGGGGGAAAAAAAACCTCTGTAGTTTGAAAGACTACAAGTAGCTTCAAATACTGATAAACAAACAGACAAACAACAAACAACTCCCCGCCAACCCAATTCCAGGTAAGAATGAGTTTCAACTGGTGTCACTGGCTCAGAGAGGACACAGTATGTCTGTAGTGGCCAGATAGCTAATGCAAAACTAAACAAAGCAGGGGTGTATGGGTATGGGCGGCATTAGGGAATGAAATGTTCATCCAAAAGGGATTATCAGCAACCCACAGACCCTAAAAAAGGAAGTAGCTTAGTGATACTGCATTCACTGTTTTGCCAAGGGATGTCTAAAACCCAACATTTTATGTTACATAACCTGATTTTCAAATGTGGTACCATAAAATTATTCAAATATTGTGTGTGGATGAAATTTATTTGTGCCACTTATGATGTAGGATGTAGGCTGCACAGTTTGAGCTTTAACTAGACATGTGGATTTTCCTGGTGACAGAAATAATAGATTTTGATGTTGTTATTGCCATTTATGGTGCTGTTGACAAAGTCTCTGTCCTTTATTCTACTTGAAGATACAGGTAATTTCCAGCTTTGATAATCACATTTAGAACTTGTCATCATCAATGCATGATAAATTTTCCAAGGCTTCGAACAGGCAACAAAACCCATGGCCTTATTTTGAATTACTGCACAACATAGGAAGAGGAGAGTGTGCTGTATTTTATGGTCAATTTATGATGAAATCCTTGAGAAATATAGTTTGATTTGTGAGGATCTGGCTAGTTGTTGGTATGAAAGAATACACTAGTTCCATGTTTTCATAGCATCTGCCTTACCTAGATGGAGGCCAACAGTATTTTACAGCAATTCTTTCTTTTTTGTTTTGTTTTTGTTTGTTTTACAATACATGCCAGGTTTATTCTCACAACTTACACACAGCTCTGGGAATACAATGTTAAAACTAATACAAAATGTTAAAATTCTTTGTAATTAAAAATTTGCTCATCTATTTACATCTTCTCGAGAGTAATGTTACTTTCGCTTTTGTTTTTAAAGGTGTAACTTTGTAAAAAGCAGGTGTTCTTTCTAGGGTAAGAATGATTAAGACACTCAAGGGGCACATGCACCTACACCATCTCCTCAGCAGAACATCACTGCTGAAGGTGTACAGCAATTCTTTATATGGGCAATACAATAATTTATGAGGCAACCTCATCCTAGCTAAAGCAGACAGCTGTCTCCTGACAGCTTCATCTCTTGTAGGGATAAGCAAAGAGGTCTTGACCTTAGGATAATGAAGATGGAAACATTCACTAATAAAGTAGAGGAACCTTGAAGAAATGGTGACAGAAAGGAATGCTAGGCTTAGTTAGGCAAGTATATTGCAGACAGGTCAGAATAAAAGCTAGCCACCTCCTTGGAGAGAAATTAAGAACTCATGACTCTGAAGGGGAAGGAAACCTGACAGCAGAAATACAAAGGTTTAGAAAGAAACTCAAGTGGCTACGCAAGGACCTTCCTTCCAAGCTGCTCCAACTTTCTTTGAAGTCAGGCAGATAAGCACGGACAGGTAGGACAATCAATCCTTCAAGCATGACAAGGACCTGCTCGGATGTCTAGAGGAGGTCAATGGTTAGGAAAATACTAAGGGCAACAAAAAGTGGTGGCCCTCTGTCTCCTGTGCAGCTAAGGTTACTGGTTTTCCTCGGTTTGAATTTATGAGAACTTTGGCACATGGTTAGGGAACAGGAGATGTCGTGTCAAAGGACGGAGAAGAAAACAATTGTATCCCATTGTCTAAATCAAGGACAAATGCTTTTCACCTTGGACAGGCAACGTTTCTCAGAGAGCTACAGCCGGGGCCATGGAACACTGAAAGATTACTCAGCACTACCATAAGGGTACCTATTTGTGAGGCTGAGTGATGAAAGAACCTTAGATCCACTGAGGTTTACAATTAAGGGCTACCTTGATTGGCTAGCCTGACTGCCTGGTTTGGAGGCGTCAGTGGGCTAAGTGACCAAGTCATACATTTCCTCTGGGTGGGCTAATGATCCTGTCTCCTGTCACCTATTTGGTTGATAGTCACATTTGCAGGAATAGTGGACCCTGCCTACTGGAAAGCCAAATGGGCACGATGGAAGAAGCACAGCGATGCCCCAGTGCTCTAAGAACAGAAATCGCTGTCAGACTGGATGCTGATTCTCTGGCAAAATTCTTCAACAAATGATTTGACTAGGTCTTTGTCAACAGTTGGAGAAGTGGAGTTTTCTGATCAATTCACTTAATTATCCTCATAGAATATTGGCAAACTGAATACTGATGTCCACATGCCTTCCAATTAGTAGAGTACCCAGCTATTTCTTTGTTTTTCTAGGTTTAAATTAATTTGAGTGTCATCAGTATTTATATGTCATTTAACACTATACAAATGACAAGTTGAGCTAGAGAATGAATGTCCTCTTTCATTTTGATGCTGGGGATAGAACCCAGGGCCTTTCACATGTGAGGCAAGCACATTGCTACTGAGCTACAACTCCAGCTGATTACTGTTTTCTGTATTTAACTAATGTGATTTAGATTGACCTAATCTTGTGAGTTGGCTTGATAGTGTTAGACTGGTGGAAACAGAGAAGAGGAGACGTCCTCAAGAAAAGCTACGTTCTGCTGTGCAGTTTTCCAAACAGTACTACTTGAAATAGTGGTTGCTAGAGTCTGTTTAGATACTCTGCTTTAAATATTTTTTTCCCTTTATGAAGCCAACACAGAAGCCATTGTGAGGCTACTGCACTGTGGTAGTATATGAGAAACAAAGTTAATTGGGAATAAGAGTGCACAGTGTAACTGGTATGAAGGGAAAGAGCCTTCATTTAATTAATCCATTTCAACTTAACCCATGTGGACACTCACGCTCATTTCTAATTGAGAATTCAGAAGTCATAAATGTCTTTTCCTAGTGAATGTTGATGTATGCTAGAACACTGCACAAAGAAAGTCACATTCCAGATTTCTCCCAAGCACACTGAATTACTGGCGTTATTTGACTTCTTTGGCCACATGTTTGATATTCTGGAGTTACTTCTGAAACCTTGGGAACTAATCTATTGCCAACGTTTAATTCCTCAGGAAAAATCCTTATGAAAGGAGTCGCATTGAGAAGTCATTGAAATTAAATATACCACCACATATTTTCTTTCAGCTTAGATGACATCCTGTGAGTCTTCTGGAATTCAAGTACAATAACAGATCACACTTTCTTGGTATGCATTTTTGTTTTTGACACAACAGTGAACCCTGTGATTCAGTTGAACCCCAGCTTCCATATAGACAAAGGGAAGGGGAGATACTGGGGGACTAGATAATGTTCTTGTGTTTTTAATAACTTCAGAGAACAATGAGGGAAGTTGCATAGTCACAGAAGCGATCTCAAGTTAAGTATGCATGTCACCTGTGCCCTTTCAAACTAGCTACAGAACTCTGTATGTAGCATGGCCCTTCTGTACACCTTTGCCCTTAATACTATCATGGGTCCATACCAAGGGCCAAGAGGAACTAGGAAGGAGGGTCATTTGCTCAAGGCCAATCTCAGCCAGAGAGGAGAGAACCCCACGGACTCAACACACCCTGAAACACTTAATTCTCAAGTTGTTCCTTTCATCATAGAGGATACTACCTCCAAACAGCACTTTTGTCCTATAATGTAGAGCTCTGCAAAAGAGGCAGGGGTTCTTAAGGCATCTGCAAGTTGGTCAAGGTCGAATAGGATACAAGGTTCTGAGGAGAGAACTCTAAAGACCAAAGTAAATGCTGTATTTGTTTTGGTCTTGGAGATGTTTGATCCGGCCTCAGAAACAGACATGTTTTTCCTACCTGCATTGTGCTTTGCCAAATATTTGTCTTTGTACTGCTTCTTTTTCTTGCCAAACCAAGTACAGCTGGCCTGCTGCTCTTGTTTGGTCTTCTCCATGGCAATGCAAGCGACTCGCCTAGTACACAAAGAAAGGAAGAAGGAAAGATAAATCCGACAAAGTTAATGCATAGTTTCATGCTGAGAAAAGTGAAAAAGTCATTTGAAGCTACACAAAACAGCAAGAACATTCTCCCTCCTTAGTCCTTGAAATCATTGGCATTAAGGCTGTTTTTTGGCTTTCATGACAGCTTCCTAGAAATGATTTAAAACTATAAGTTTATGTTAAAATTATTTTGTGTTCCTTGAGCCCACATTAACTGAGTTTCAACATGTGGTTATGAGATTCAGCATGATGAGCATGGGATGAGTAGGCCTGTTTTGCATCCTGTATTTGTCACTCATTTTCAGTGCTTAGTACTTAGTGTCAGGCATGTTTCTAGGAATTTTCCAATTATTAGTCCAGGTAATCTTTCAGACACACTGAATCATGCGTTGCACAGAAATTCTTAAAGTTTACAGTTTTGCCTTCCATCTTATTTTAGAAATGATTTTTGCTCATATGAAGTAGGAGTCCAGTCTCTTTTGTCTCCTTTATGGCTACCCAACTGTCCTAGCAGGATATACTGAAAATAGAAGATCATTCCTCACCACTGTGTAATGCTATTAGTTATATAGCAAGTGCCTATTTTGGTATGGGAGTGCTTTAGGATTTTGTCTCTTTAGTTGGTCTGTCTGAGCATCTCTGAATTACTTTGTGGGTTTTGGCATTTGGTTGAGTAAGACCTTGTTCCTTGTTCAAGATATCCTGGCTATCCCTGAACTTGTGCATTTCCAGATGAACTTTAAAGATATTGTATGTATGTATGTATGTATGTATGTATGTATGTATGTATGCATGCATGCATGTATGCGTTGGATGCTGGGTGTCCTCCTTGTCACTCCACCTATTCTTTTGAGGCAGGGCCTCTCCCTGAACCGGGTGCTCATGTTTCCTCAGCTAGGCTGGAAGTCAATAAGTCTCAATGATCCTCCTGTATTCATTTTCCTAGGAGCAGGCATATCCCTGATTTGCTATGTGGGTCCTGAGATCTGAACTTTGGGATTCATGACTGGATAGCTAGTCCTCTTAATTAATCATGGAGTCATCTTTCTAACCTCACCAAGTAAACTTTAAAGTTAGTTTATCAATTTCTTTTTCTGTTTTTGCATTTTTCAACCTCCACATGAAGTTAATTTTATTCTTTTTTATTTTTAAAAATATTTTTATTTAAATTAGAAACAATCTTATTTTACATATCAATCCCAATTCTCTCTCCTTCCCATCCTCCCATGCCCCCAACTGAACCTCTGTCCCACCCCTCATCTACTCCCCAGGAAGAGTAAGGCAGGATCATCAAAGTCTGTCACATCATTTGGGGCAGGGCCTAGGCCCTCCTCCATGTATCTAGGCTGAGAGTATCCCTCCATGGAGAATGGGCTCCCTAAGACCATTTGTGCACTAAGGATAAATATTGGTTCTGCCACCAGAGGCCCCACAGATTGCCCAGGCCTCCCGTCACCTACGTTCAGGGAGCCTAGTTCAGTCCTATGCTGGTTGTCCAGCTGTCTGACTGGGGTCCATGAGCTCTCACTACACCAGGTCAGCTGTCTCTGTGGGTTTCCCCAGTATGGTCTTGACCCCTTTGCTCATCACTCCTCCCTCTTGCAACTGGATTCCAGTTCAGCTCAATGCTTAGCTGTGGGTGTCTGCTTCTGCTTCCATCAGCTACTGGATGAGGGCTCTAGGATAGCACTTAATGTAGCAATGGGGGAGGGGGGATAGGGGAGGGAGGAAAGAGAAAGAGGAGGGGAGAAGAGGAGAACATGAGAGATCAGGATTGAGTAGGGGGAAGGATAAAGGAGAGCAAGAAAAGAGATACCTTAATGGAGGGAGCCATTATGGGTTTAATGAGAAATCTGGCACCAGGGAAATCTTCTGGGACCCACAAGGATGACCCCAACTAACAATCTAAGCATGTCCTTCCCCTATATTGAGGTTGATGACTATGTTAAATGCCATCCTAGTTTGTCAACTTCTAAAATTGGGATTTTGATTGAGATTGCATTGGTACAATTAATATAGCAAGGATAGACATTTTTACAATATTAAGTCTTATAGCCCATGAATGGAGTGTTTATCTGTCTCTTCTTTAATACCTTAGTAAATTTTATTTTGTTTTGTTTGAGATGGGTTCTCATTTATCTCAGTGTGGCCTCAGAGTCTTTATGTAAGTCAAGGATTACTTGAACTCTGTATGCTCTTGCCTGCACCTCCAAGTACTAGGATAGCAAATGTGCACTACCATGCCTGACATTTTTTCTTGTTCTTAGAAACAAGGTTTCATGTAGCCCAGGCTGACCTCAAAGTCACTATGAAAATAAAAAATCTCTTCACCCAAGCTCTGTTGCATGATATCTTTCTCTCATGTGCATCCCACCCCCCTACCCCCGGGGTCAGGGTTTCTCTGTGTAGCTTTGGAGGCCGTCCTGGAACTCGCTCAATAGGCCTCAAACTCACAGAGATCCGCCTACCTCTGCCTCCCAAGTGCTGGGATTAAAGGTGTGTGCCACCAATGCCTGATTCATATGCTGCCTTTTAAAATTACAACAGTTATACAAAACCAAACCCAGGCATTAACTTTACCTTTTTTGGTATCAGATTTCTGGTAGATATTGGCCAAATACTTAAGAGGGCAAGACACACCCTCTTGTCTCTCAGTTAAAAAACAGTGTCTGAAATGCCTGTCTGACTTCAACCTGTTTCACAAGTTCAGCCTTCTAACAGAATAGGTCATCTCCCCCTCCTCTGTCTCTTGTTTTGTGGATGGAACCCAGGGCATGCCAGGCAAGCATCTACTTCTTAGCTAGAAAGACCATTCTTAAAGAATGGTAAGGCAAAGAACAAAGCTTCTGATTGTCCTTTCTCCCAACAGCAGAATAGGTCACATCATCTTTAAATACTCTTAGTGACGCTGAGTCGTGACACTTGAAGATTTTTTTTCCTGATGTTGTGGGATGGTCATGAAATAATATAAAGGGACAAAAGAAGCTACATCTGGAAGAAAATGCCATTCTAAAAAGATTAGAACAGTGGAGTTAAAGGCTCTGCGCAAATGACTGAGACTAGTCATTCAGCTTGTCTCTGAGCCTCCTTTCCTCACTCACGTGCTGATCTAAGTGGAACCAGTATCTGACTAGCAGCTGAGTACTGAGAATTCTTGGACAACTTATTTTTTGGATTTGATCTCTGATCCGTATTTTGTATAGTTAGCAAAGCAAAGGATTTATCAAGCAGGTTTTATAATGCAAAACATGAAATTGACTGGAACAGAGGGTATTGTTTCATCACAAAAAAAAAAAAAAAAAAAAAAAACAAAAACATACCATTCCTGAAGTTCAGGAGAAGGAATGAGACCTGCAGTTCCATTTTTGGAGTTTTCCAGTTTACCCTGCCACCAGTTGTGGTCATCCTTACTAATGATCTGAATGATGTCACCAACTCGGAATCGGATGCCAGCTTCTTTGCAGGGGATGAGGTCATCCTTGGCTGGATCATATTCGAATTGTGCTCTTACATAGATCTATAAAACAGGAGTTTGTAAGAAAGGAGGCCACAGTGATGTGAAGGAAAATGGTGAGCAATAATGTAATAGCCACACATCTACACTTACAACACAAATAGGACATCAGATGGTGAAAACTGAAACGATGTATGGTAATAGGACACAAGAAACAGGGTGCCACATCTAATGATTACAGCTACGACTTTGCGATTTATAATTAAAAGGAACACTTAAAATACTTGTTGAATGAATTATGCTTTTAGTAATAGGATAGGTGTATAATTATAGAGCAGTATGCTCACCAATTTTAAAACTTGCTGTGACTATGGTGATGGTATGGATATGTTGTCAATACCATGAGGCAGCCCTGAAGGCATGGACACTAGCATTTAGGGTAGGTTTATATCTTAAAGTAGCAAGAACTCTCTGTGTTGGTATCTTGCTGCTGGATGCTGTCATGACAACTGACAGTGTGCCTATACATTGCAGATAAAGCTATATGTAACTCAAACATTATTAAAGAGTTCAAAATACAGCTTTATTTCTTTAGAGGAATTTTGGCTTTGTATTTGTGTTTTACTCTTGTGGGAAAATAAAGATGAATCTGAACACTTGCTTTGCCAATGTAACACTTGAAATCATTACACACAGCATCAAAGCATGCATGGTTTAAAGCCCTGAGCTTTATGGTATGTGAATTTAGGAGACATAATAGCAAACTGAGGTTATAACACAGCAGCATTTTATGAATGAATGGAATTCTGAGTGTTTTAAAATAAGGTATTGTATACAAGGTTGCCTGAGTTATGCAGTTCTGAGACTAAACTGTGGGCATAGTCTACCAATTACTAATTTATACAGTTCTTAGTTCTTAACTTAAAATCAGATTTATTTTTTAGCATTTCAAGGAAAAAAACCCATGATTCTATCTTTTGATATTAAGTTTAAATAGTTATATTTAAGTGGCGGTAAAACCAACCTGAAGGCTTTGGAACTACTGTGTAATATTTCTATTTTAACAATCTAGCCCTTAAAAATGAACAGATCTCTACATTTGTACCTAAAATCAACACTGTAAAAGTGCTGGCTCTTTGAAAGTTACCTGCTGATACTGCATAGCACTTAGCATTTCTAAACTAGCACAGGTATATCAGGATGAAGGCCAGAATACTGATGCTGTTTTTCATTATAAGTAGCTTTACGACATACACAGGCAAATAACAGACTTAATTTTAACTTAGCTTTTAATGTCAGAAAAATCCCTTAAAATGTTTGTTAAGGCATGACTTTATATTTGGAATTCTATATGCACCAGAGGAAGGTAAGACTCTCTAAGGCCAAACTCCTTACTGTGAGCAAAAAATGATCAGGTTGAAATTACAATAACCATCACAGCTACAGAGGTGTGAAGAAAAAAATCTTTATAGAGAATTAGTCATGTATAATGTGTTAAAATGAAATGGTACAAGCTTTGAATGCTCAAATGTTATGGTCCAAAATGCAGACATTATGGGATGGAAAGGGTTAATAAAGGATTGACTATTAGCTCAGTTTAGAGAAGTTTCTATAGAGGGTATCTATTCACCTGTCGTCCTTTTGGTTGGGTGGTTGACGGCAAGTCCTGTAGAATAAAGCCAACCCAGGAGAAAAAATTTTCATTTACTTGTCAAGAGTACAAAGTAATTTGTGTGTTTCTGTTACGATATGGTTAAAAATGAACTAGATTTAAGTTGTAAAGAGATCATATACATTATTACATTTCTCAGAAGTGTTGAGTTATATATATATATAAAAAATCAAAACCAGGCCATTTAGCAGCAAGCTGAAGAAAGCAGGTAAGTTGAAGCAGAGAGAAAATGTGTTCTTAAGAAACAACTCAGCATCTTCAACACAAAAGCCACTGCGGTTCAAACAGCCTATTACAAAAACTCCTGAGCACAAAAGAACGGTTGTCCTTTTCAACTTCACTGCAACCGTTTAGATTTTGAAAATTTTAATGGGTCTATGGCTTTTTACCATCTTAAAAGCGTTACATGTTATTGTTAACAAGGAATTCTTTGGGAGCCTAGATTCACATTGGCAACACAGGAGTAATTTTCTTGAACAAATTTTCTTACTTAGATACTTGGGATATCATTCCATTTGAGATGATCTTTGAATGATTTATTACTTTATTTGATAAAAAAGGTCGATATATTCTTAAAGGGCAAATTAGAAGTCAGGACCAAAGGCAACCCTGCTGCATTCGAGCTCTTGTAATTGCAGCTGGCTGACCAGCAGCAGAAGCAACAGCAGCAGCAGCAGCAGCAACTTAGCAACGTGCTATCTCGAAAAATGGCAAACCTGCACATGCAAATGCTTCTGTTTGATTAAACAATTCTTTCTATCATCCAGAATGGAGAGTTCTGAAAAACAGCAACTTTCCAAGTTCAAGTCAAATACGTACTTTGTGTTAAAGATGTGATACCAGCGTGGCTTAAGTGCAGTTTGAAGCCAGTTCCTTTTGCTTTTCATATCCAGGCAAGGCTTATAATTCACAAAAAATATGTGCACGTACCACAATAACAAGAGGGCACACCAATTCGTAAACTTAGATAGCGGAAACTACAACATGTTGCTGATATCCCTCAGAATGGAAAACCATAAAACCCAAGAACACCCAAATGTTTATTCTGCAAAAAAAATCCCTTACATTTCTTCATCTTTTTTTTTTCATTAAAAAATTCTTAAAGAAATTTAAACACAATTCTATTTATTCCTTTGAGCAGTCGTGGTGGGGAGGTGGAGAGGTAGTTTAGAACAACTATAGCAGTCTTGAACTATGTTTCTTCAAATGTAACTGATTTTGAAGGAGAAGGAAATGTTGAGGAAGGTTTTTCCAGGAGTAAAACTGCGTTGCAGCTGCGGTAGCCTTGTTTGCCTGCAGAAGACATTCTTTCCACTGAACACATGTAACTAAACACTCATGGCAGGTGAGCACCAACAAAATTGTCACACTTGGCTGTGTGGAGCTAGAGTTCTTACCGAAACAGAATTGTTAGTGCTGCTATGACCATTAGCAGGGGACTGTCTGGAAGTGGAGGGGGAATCTCTCTGAAATAAGACACAAGGTTCATTAACACAGAAGAGCAGCACAGAAACAGATATTTACATCAACAGTTACAACCACAGTCTCACAACCGTTTCCTTTGAGGCTAATGCTCTAAGAGGTGTCTTACTGACTCACTTGCATGATTTCACAGAAGGATGAACAAAACTTTGTTTTGTACTTTGAAGATTCCCGTATTATAAGTGAGGACAGTGTTGCCATTCATGAATGATTACTTTTCTCCTGTATCCCAAATTCTACAATCTTTGCTTTTTTATTTGGACTCCAGGAGAGTGATATTAAAATCCTACTAAATATTTCATGATGATAAATATTATAGTAGGATTGCGCTAAGGAGCTCAACTGCCTAGTTTTATATTAAAGAATAGGTTTGAGAAGTAGGCAACGGTTTTTAGGGACCCACTGTCAAGAACTACCAAGTAACTCCATTGAGAGTTAATGAACCTAAGAGAAAGACTTCACATGTAATCAACTTAGACCTTTCTAGAATAAGTAGTACTAATGGGCATAAAAGACTCATTTTAGCAGACTGAGTAAAATGGTAACTCCATGCAACAATGTTCTACTTCTGGCCAAATTCCTAGGTGACACAGCATTCTCTTTAGCCACACTCTCAGATCTCTCTGCTATTCAACCCACTCAGAATCCTTCACAGGTTCCATTCCTCAGTGTTCAAATCAACTTAATGAAAAGAGCTAAGAGAAGGAAATAAGGGCTTTGAATACTTAATTTTTAAGAGTTCCTTATGAACACTAAAGTTATTTTTCTAGAATATTGGAAGAAAACTTCTAGAATTTGTCAGTCTGAAATAGAATGAGATCCTTTAGAGGTACATTCTCAAATAATATTGAGTGGCTTGATCTCTATTTGTCACCCTTGGTGATTCAAGTTAGCAGGGTATGGTGGAAGTATGAGCCCTCATTTGTAAAGCCCATGCGATAGCTAGAAGAGGCCAAGCCCAGGGGTGTGTGTGTGTGTGTGTGTGTGTGTGTGTGTGTGTGTGTTTGGGGGGGCAAGGACCAATGTGTTTATATGTTGCAGGTGAGCAGAATAAGACAAAGGAATCATTACTTTCCCCCTAATATTCAAAGGTATAGAATTTATATGTATAATACGTGTGTCTTCCTCAAACTAGCTCAACCACTTGAAAAGAAGAGAGAAACTTTTATCAATAACTAACAATATCTTCTGGTTAGCACCCCCACCCAATTTATTTATTCAGTTCCTTCAATACATGAGAAATGCTGTGAGGAAAACTTATGGTTTTAGAGTGTTTAAATTATCTATGAAAATTTATGCATGCTATTCTCTCTTTGCCTGAATGGTTCATACTCTAAGTAACAATCTTGAAGCTGGACAAGTTCTGCAAAGTTTTGAAATATATTATTAACTGACATTCCATAGGAAGCCACCAAGAGGAGCTCAAGACCCAACAAAATAGACATTTTAATTGTCACTGGCTCACTAAAAATCTACTAGCCAAAAGCACAGATTCTTATATATAAGTTGAATAGGCTTAGGTGATAAATATGTACCCTCTAATTGTTTTTTTTTTTTGTGAATTGTGCAGTATCATTTGAGTCTTGAAACGTATAATTTCCATTTCAAATTTTCTTAAGCACAAATCTAGTAAGTTAGCACTAGCCCTTAAAAATTACCTTTAGAAAATATAAATTTCATACCTATTTATTTGCAGTGACAGGGATTGAACCCAGGGCCTCACACATGCTAGGCAAGCATTCTACCACTGAGTTATATTCCCCAGCTCTTATACTTCATAATAACATATTTGGAAGATCCATAAGAAAAATTTTAAAATAAGCTTCAATAAATAATATCTGAGCTGGATGTGCTATAACCAAAGAATGATACTGTTATGATGATTTGTGTCTCTCAATATAGAAAGAATAGATTTTTTTACTATAATGAACAACATAAAATTGAAAAAATGTAAGTTGAAAGAGTTTTAATTGGTAGAGGATAAACCTGATTTAAGAAACTTTGGTGTTGTTACTCTACAAAAGGTATTTGTTTATGAGTCATTTGATATTTCAAATATGTAGGCTTTTACAAAAGGTTGCAAGAACCTACATCCCTGCCATGAAGTCAGTTGCCAATTCATCGGGCCAGTCATTCAAACATCAGTATCTAGACAGAAGTTGATCACTCCTCAGATTCTTGGAAAGAAGAACTACCTGTGAAATTTCTTAACAAGGGAAGTGCATGGACTTCCTGGAAACACTGCTTATTTTTTGCCCCGGGGATTTCATTTTTTTTTTCTTTATCAAGCTTTATGTTATTGCAGCTTTCCTATATTTGGCTTAGGTTTGGCTGCGGAAAGGCTGAAGATATCTGCATGGAATTGGGGCGGAGGAGGTGGGTGGGACCTCCTCTGTTCCGTTATCTTCGTTGTAAAATTGGTGTGCAGTGATCTAACAGCACAGGCAGAAACAATTTCCCAGAAAGCAAAAACATTCAGCCATCAGCAGACAGTTAGTTAAGAACTCAGAAGAGATGGGGTGGGGCTTGTTAGAGTTATTACCTCACAGGATGAAGACTGAGTGCGGTAGCTTGGCACAATCTTGAAGGTAATACTCCCCCGCATTTCCCTCTGGGGGGGGGAAAAGAGGAGAGTTCTCATGCAAACACATGGTGCAAATGAAATACAGGCAAAACCATTCAAAATACGTGGGTGCAATTAGTATGCACCATCTGACAGCATACAGCCCTAAAAAACCCCTAGTCACTATAAGGCAGGAACCACTCAGGTTACTGGTAGAAGTTTCTGGGAAAGGCCAGTGAAGTCAAGGCTGACTATCTTGTACCTAGCAGTGAATGGTCTTACAGATCTCTGATGGTTATCGAAGTGACAATACCTTACCAAAAAAAAAAAAAAAAAAGACTACATACTGAACTAAACAAGAGAGTAAGTAATTACATAAAAATCCTGTATAATATGATACTGTCCAGTGCTAGTGCCATAAAACTGCTCTTATACTTTATTAATTTTGGCATTCTTTTTTATTACAGCAAGTCTTGGAAGCTTACTTCATGCCTAATAGCTATTCATTATACGGGAAGCTGCTGCCCTGTAGCAGAAAGAAGGACCCAGGGCATGAAACAAACGTTTTCCTGTTTGCTACAACAAACAACACAGATGGGGGGGGGTCTGTCAACAGAGTCAATGCTCGTTATTGAAGGCCTAATTTCAGTACAGATTTTTTTTTTGAGTACAGTCAATAATGGCCTGGCCTACAGTGACTTTCTACCCCCTTGTGTTATAGAGAGACACACTACAGCTGGCCATGACTCAGCAAAACAGGAAAGAGGTTTCTGATATTACTATGTCAGGAACCTTTTGAGGTCAGTGAGAAACTAGTTCACATCAGTACATATCAGGAAGGTTTTGCTGTAAATATCTGGTTGGTAAGAATCAGATGAAGGATGAAAGGGTCACACTGCTAATGGCAGGCAAAATGGTTCCAAATCCATTGCAATTAAAACATTTTCCTAGTTGTCAATTTTTAATGAACATGGCACAAGTTCAACTTCATATACATGATGGTATAAGCAGCATTCTGATTATGACTGAAGAACAGTGTGTGTTTTTAAATATCTATTTAGTGTGGGTGTATGGTACGAGTGGAAATACGGTTGTATGTATGTTCGATGTATGTGCATGTGGGTATGTGAATGCCAGCACTTGCTTGTGGATGCCAGATGAACATGTTGAGTAGTCCATTCTACTACTTTCCACCATATGTTTTTGAGACAGGGCCTCTCCCTGAACCTGGAACTAGGCTGGTTAGGCTAGCAAGCTTCAGTTACCCTCATGTCTCCACCAGAAACAATGCTGGGAGGTTATAGGCAGATGAGCCCATGCCCTGCTTTTTACATGGGTGTGACATCCAAACTCAGGTACTCTCACAAGTGCTTTTACCCACTGAGGCATCTTTCCATCCCCTATATTCTGTATGTTTTCACAAAGTAAATTAATAGAGCTATCATCATGGCTCATTAACAGGAACTAAACATCGAGAAGACTGATAGACACGCTATTATGGAAGGCGAAAATCTCATGGATGTTAGCAGATATTCAATCACACTGTGCACCCGGAGTTTGCATTTGCATTAATTAAATACAATTAACCTTGGGTCAGGAGCCTGAGTTAGTAACTAGTTAACAGAAAGTAATCATAGAGCACCAAGAGGGCACCTGGAAGAGATAAAGAGATGCACTGGACGGAGTAGGGAGTGATTTATAGAGTGGTGTAGAGCTTTTTTGTTTTGTTTTTGGCAGAGCAGAAGGATGCTCTCTTTGGAAGATGCCAGCAAGGAGAGAAGGTTAGCAAGGTGCTACTTAATCTCTCTGAGCTAGCAGGTTTCCACTCTAGCCTTTGAATCTCGAGTCTTATTTATAAACAGAACAATAGAGCTAATGAACATAGAAAAGGGAAAACTTTCATTTACTTACAAGCATTTTTTGTAGCTGTTCCACTGTTTGGTTAGCGACACTGATGCCATTGATTTCTCGAATTTCATCACCGACATGAAGAGTACCTACAAAAATCATACACAATTATAAAACTGAAAGGAGTAAATGTTTTTATAACAATGAAAAGCCAAAGGTATTAATGCAATAAAAAATAAGTTACATATCTAAAAGGCAATGTTTCAGAGGCAGGGTCATGTTTGGCTGCAGAATTATTTAACTTTCCTGTAGTAAAACCATCTAAACAGATCTACTTTCAGAAAGCAGTTTTGATGGACGGCCAAAGAAATTTGTTGACAACCCATGTATGAGCAGGCAGAAGTGAAAATAAGACAAATGACTAGTACTTTTAAAACAAAAACGTAAATGATGATATAAGTTAATAAATGGATAAGAGTTCAGACATGGCTGAGGAGAGTTTCAGTGAACTGGAAGACATAACAAAAGATTACACATAAGATAGGTCATAGAAATAAAGACATAAGGAAACTGGGAAACAAAAATAAAGAATATATATAAAAAGCTATGGAATACAAGAGTGTTTAATGTACATCTAACTTAAATTCAGAAAGCACAGAGAGAATGAAGAAGAGGCAATGTTTGAGCAGTTGAATGTTTTCTTGAACTGATGAAAGTGTTACTATACACATCCAGGAAGAATAAGATAAATAAAAAGAAATCTGGGCAGGCAGTAAAAGGCTCCTGTCACCAATCTGACACTCAACCCCTGGAGCCCACATGGTGGAAGGAAAACTGACTCCTGCAAGTTATTTTGTGACCTCTACATACACACTGTGGCATGTGTATGTGTGCACCTGGGAGCGCATGCACACATGCACACACACACATACAAATAAACATATTGTTTAACTTGAATATATGGAAAGTTTAAAGATTCAAGGTAATCACTAATATCACAAAATAGGGTGCTAAAATTAAAAGCTAGTAATTAGGGGGTAATGAAACAAACAAACAAACAAACAAACAAAAAACCTTCCAAAAAATGAACCAGGAAAGCAAGATAGTAGAATCATTACAACAAATGTTAATGGTCTATCAAAAAATAGTGATCAAAACTGGTCAAAGTAGTGCACAACCTTAATCTCAGTGCTCAGGGGGTAGAGTCAGGAGGAGTACAAGTTTAAAGTCACCCTTGGCTACACAATGAGTTTGAGGCCCATGTACCTAATTCATATAGTCAAATATGTAGGTCTAAAGAGACCGATAAGTAGACACTGAAACATTCTACTACTATAAATGGATATTTAAATATTGGCAGGGCAGGCATACAAAAATTAATCAACACATAGAAGATTTAAACAAAAACATTAACAACACCAAGCCAATCATTATATAGGGAACTCTGTATGCAGAAGTTAAAAAATAAAGGTTCTTCATAAATACAGATTCACAAAAATGATTAATGTGCAATGGCATTAGGAAAGTCTTAAAAACTTCTGAGAAATGGTGTCATACAGACCACACTCTCTGACCACAATATAAACATAATTAAGTTAGCAGTAAATTACAGAAAGATGTCTAGAAAATCTCTTCAAATATGATAAATAAAAAATAGTAAATCACTCATGGATCAATGAACAAAAATAATAGGTATGTAAGAATACTGACAATAAGTCATTATGCATCAAAACTGGTGGGATCCATATATAATTGTACTTTGAGTTTTCATTTTACTTTATTTCATTTCCAGTGTTGGGGATGGAACTTAGGAACATGGTCTACAATGACTGAAACTCAAAGACAAAGAGCTCTTTTATGTGAATCATAAAAAAAGCAACACACAGCTCCTCCCACTTCAATCAGTAGGTATAGGAAGAATTAAGGATGGTAAAGAAAGAATTACAAATGGAACTCACCTTGCCTGTGAATCATACCCCCATGCATGATTCTTGCAACAATACAATGATTAAGCTCATTCATTTTCAAAGTGATTCCCTAAAAAAAAAAAAAAAAAAAAAAGGAAAAAAAAACGTTGGTGAGGGTGCAGTTAAGCAAAAACACTATATTTGTGATTTTACTGTGGGTGATTTTAACTAGAACAGTTATAAAATTATTAGACAATATGTAGAAAATGAAGATACTCCATTACTTTACACACAAAATTGTTCTAAGATAGAAATGCTGCTTGGTGTTTTTCTTGCTATAATAGCATGCATGCACTTTATGTAGTGCTTTTCACTCTTTTGATTATGATTTTTTACATCACTCTTTCTTTTATGTTGCCAGCTATTAAAAAAAGGATTTTACTTCTGCCCAGAGTCTATACTTTCTATTAGTATATCTCTTACATTTCTTCCACAAAACAAGTTTTATTTTATAACCCATATAAATTATTTCAAACTATAAAATTTGCGAAGTTTAACATATGCAAACATGTGTGAGTCTTTCACTACAATCAGATGGTAACTGTGTTTTAGCCTCAGAAGTTTCCTCTTATTTGTGGTCATTTATTCCCATTGCTCTATGCTCTCCATTCATGCCTAACTCTAAGTACTGATGGGCCTTCCTTGACTAAAGAGCTAAGTTTGTACTATCTAGAAATAAACCACATTCATTTGGCTACTTATAAATTATTTTGAGATTCTACCATTTTGTTATATTATTTTGCTCTATTATCAGTAACATATCTTTTGTTCTTGTTGAACAGTATTGCAACGTTTAGCTGCAACAACTTGTTCATCCATCCCTCCACTGCACTGCTTACCATTTTGGCTGTTATAAATAAAGCAGCATTCCAGGCTTAATCTCCACTTAAAACATTTTGTTTTTTAAAGATTTGGGACATTTCATGTATTTGTGCATCTCTTTCTACAGACACTAGGATAACGTTTTCCATGTTAATATTTTAGTATAGACACCATTGAAATGAGCATATATTAGTGTTTTCATATTTTGTTAACTCGCTTTGCTAAAATTATGTTTAGACAATTTTTACCTATATTCATGAGTGATTCTAATCTGCACTTTCTTGTAATATTATTATCTGTTTTTATAGGGTAGCAATGGCTTTACAGAATGAGTTGGGAAAAACTTCCTTTTCATTGTTTTGGGGAAAGTCCATGGAGAATTAATTATCTGAGGCCTGTCTGGGGTGGACAGACATTTGTTTACATCTCCACAGGAAACATTAATGCAATAGTCATTCTTTCATGACCAACCTGATCTTCTGCTTGATTGGTGCTGCTGAATTCTGTTTTCTATTCCACTAATTTCTCCTTTTTTTTTTTCAGAACTGAGGATTGAATTCAGGGCCTCATAGATGCTAAGCCAATATTTTACCATTGTGATATATCATCATCATCATTTGTTTTGATTAATTTTTATTATATCTTCTACTTATTTTGTTGTTGATTTATTCTCATTTGTGTTTTAAGGTTGAGATCTGATACAAGGTTACTGATTTGAGACATTTTTTGTTCTTTAATATATATTAAAATGTTAGAAATACATATTTAGCGCTATATATTTCTCCGTATTAAGTACTATTCCAGTCACATCACACAAAAGTTGATACAGTGTGGTTAATTTTCAAGTATTTGAGATATTTTCTTTCTTAAATTTTCTTTTCACTTTTTTTTGAGACACTTGCTGTGTAGCCCAGGCTCAAATTCACAACCCTCCTGGTACTGCCTCCTGAGCACTGGGATTATAGGTGTGTAACACTCTATCTGGCTTCTGTTTATTAATTTCCAACTTACCTTCACTGTGATCTGAGAATAGACTTTGATATTAATATGGCTGCTTCAGCTTTCATCTGAATAATGTTATGGATTTTCTACCCTTATTTTGAAACTATTTTTCTTTTTGTATAAAATATATTTCTTACAGGTAGCATGTGATGATTACATTTTACAAAATCAATCTGACAGACAACCTTAGCTTTTTTCCAGGCAGGGTTTCTCTGTGTAGCCCTGGCTGTCCTGGAACTCACTCTGTACACCAGGCTGGCCTTGAACTCAGAGACCCACCTGCCTCTGCTTCCTGAGGGCTGGGATTACAGGTGTGCCAACCTCTGCTTTTTAATTGGAGAATTTAGACTATCAAGATTTAGTATGCTTGTTAACATAGTTTGATATAAATATATCTTCTTGTTGTGTTCCCTTTTAATCTCTTTTTCTGTGTTTTTGTAGACTTATTCTCATTCTGTTGTATATTATGGTATGTTTTGGGTCTGCTGACAGCCAACAAGTCCTAATGATGCTCCTCTGTCCTTTATCTCTAGTGTTACAGTTGCAAGTACATCTGACTTTTTACATGCGTGCTGGATCCCAACTCAGTAAGTTCTCTTATCCACTGAGTCATCTTTTCAGTCTTCCCCAACCCAGATTAGCCAAAACCCTTCATGTTACTGCTTTAGTGGCTGTATTTGACTTTATTATAGTGTAAGTATTTAGCCTACCAATTTGTCTTTGAGTAATACTATACTACTTCATTCGTGAGAACTTTCCAATAGCACACAGCCATTTCTTTCTACTTGACCTTTTGTGTTACCCTTGTAGTCCATATTCCATGTTATACATCCTAATGCAAAGTATCTTTGAAGGAGATTTTATAGTCTTTTAGCATTGGTGTGTCTACAGATGTTTTTATTTGGTTCATTTTTGAAAGACACTTTTGGTCTTCCTAGATTCTTAGCTCTGCTCCCTCCATCTAGGGACTCTGCCTGCTTTGCTTCACAAGTCCCTTCCCATACGCTGGCCTGGAAACTCTGAGGGCAGTAAGGTGGGACAATTACAGGTGTGCTGTCTTTGCGTCCTCCTTCTCTCTGCCCTCCTGTCTCTCTCTCAGAGATCTCTGTCCTTTGTTGCTTGATGTTCAGTGTCTCAAAAAATTCTCACTTGTAATTTAATATTTTCATAATTTCATCTGTTTCAGATGAGAGAGCCAGAAGCTTGTTTTGTAATTATATTTAAGCCATTTTACATTTTGTTTTCAAATATTCCCTATTAAAAGACAAATTTTCATAAACATACTTTTGCAGTAGACCTGGTTGGTCCTAAGAATCACACAGGGAGCTGTGAAATAATGCTGACTCTTAAGCATACTCATTAGATTTGTATTCATGGGGACAGGAATGGAGCCCAGAATTATATATCTCTTAACAAGGTCACTTTATAGGAAGGTGGTCTTGAATGTGAAGTGGTTACCAGTAGGCATTCAATTTTCCCTCTTTGAAGAATATAACATTCTGTCAGAAAACTTCGTGGAATTACCTGAGAATTTATATTCTAGCTTATTGAACCATGCCACAAAATACATATTTTGCATGGTTCCTATTATGAAGCTCTCAGAAGGATTAGGGAAGTACTGTGAAAAGTATAGTTTATCAAAAATGATGTTGGTCCTAACATTCAATTGTAATGTTCAGTTTTCATTTCCAGTTTCTACATTCAATAAGCATATATGGTTACTTAGAGTAGTGTTCTGGAAAATGTCATAAATGAATGCATACGTCAAACTGACTTTCATAAGGGAAATGATGGCAGAGCAGAGGTCCTACCCTTAAAGCTACTAGGTTTCTATATTAATTCAACTAACATGAACAGGAACCTATTATGTTGTAGACACCCTTTTAGGCACAGTAGTAAAGGAGGCAGAATGTACCTTCATTGCTAGGGAAACTGACTCCAAACCAATTATAGGCAACGTTTTTCATTCTGTCTGCCCCCAAATTTCTCTGCAGAGAATCGACTCATGTTCCTTCTGTTGGCAAGACCACAAACTCCAGGGAAAGTATTGAATTAGCTTGGTATGGGTATGAACTTATCAACGCTTGAGGAATCGGGGGGTAGCATATATTCCTGGTCTTTCATTGCTTACACAAACAAGCCTTTCCCGTCTTGTGTAAGCTAGTTCAAGTATGGTATTTGTCATTTCCAACTATGGAAGTCCAAATCAATAGGGAAATAACTGTGAGTACAATGTTATAAACTGGAAAATATAGGGTTTAAAGGAAGTGTATCATCCTTAGGGAATGCATGCATTCTAAAGGGTCTCCAGGCAGAAGAAGTCATGTAAATAGAATCTTCAGAGAAATTCAGAGCTATGAAGAAGACATAATGATTACAGTATAGTTATATTCTATTATTAATATTTTACATGTACCATCCATGCTCACCCTTCTCTTCCTCCTTGAGTAGCAGTCTGTACAGGTTGAAGTTAGCTAATTGTTACTCAAGTTTTTCCTACTTACCATTGGTTCATCTGTGTTCTTTTGGAACTGTACCAGCCGAACTCTGGTCACATTCTCCATGTCCATGTCTCCGTTGGCGCTTTCTGGAGAATCACCATTTAAATAGGGAGAGGTCGGGGGAGGTGTGACCCTTAATGCTTCATCACTGTAAACTTCATGTGCCACTACATCGTGAGTCTGAAGTAAGGCCTGGCATTTTTAATGAAAGTAGAAATGAATTAGTTATAGTACCATTCTAGGAGAAATCTGTTACACAAATATATGTAATATCATACAACTGAATGGACAATTATGTAGTGACATCCACTGTGTCTACCATAATATTTTTATATAGCCCAGAGGATGAGGACAATTTATAACATGAGTTAGGAAATAAAATTAAACTGTATAGATATACTTATGACACCACTTTTCTAAAATACAATACATATATAACTCAAAATTGAAAGTCTAAATTTTTTTTACACATTTGTATATGTGTATGCACACACATGTGAGGACACACAGGAGGTATGGTGTTCGTGTGGAGGTTAGAGAACAACCTGTGGGAGTTTTCTATTTCTACCATGTGAATTGTAGGGATCAAACTCAAGTTGTTAGGTTTGGTGAAAAGTGCCTTTACTTGATCCGTCATGTCTGAAAATGGAAACATTTGAAATGTTTTGTTCATTTTTGTTTTTTGGATTATTATCATTTTTTTTGAAATAGTGTCTTGTGTATTCCAGCCTTGAATTCACTAAGTAGGAAAGGATGACCCTCTGTTTCTACCTCCCAAGTTCCGGAATCACAGGGGTGCATCACCATACTTGGTTCATGTGGGGCTGGGGATGTAACCCAGGGCTTTGTGAATTCTAGAGAAGCACTCTACCAACCGAGCTACATCCCTGTGCCTAAGTTGAAAATGGTTACTTATTCATTTTGCAACTAACAAAGAAAAATGATTTCTTTCTACAGACATCTGTATGTCATCTTGGTAATCTTTGATAATAAATCTCTTTTGCTTCTCTAAAACAGGTATCTTCCTGCTTTGTCCCATTATAAACCCTTTTTAATAAGCATGAGAAATTTTAGTTCAAAGAGAATTTACAACTGACTACTGTTGGCAACTTTATACAGATATACTACTATATATAGTAGTGTGCATGTGAACTCTAAATTTAGTTTCATTTTCATCTGTCATGTGTGTGGTAATGAGATATGTGTGGGTAGTGAAATGCAATTAAATAGTATTTCACCATCTGAAATCACTTCCTAAAAGGCTTATCAGAGCCATGCTTAGCTATTTTACAGTCATGCATACAGGGCAAAAATAAGGTAATGATGTGTTGAAACCAGAAAGGAGATGGTGCTGACTTGTTATCAATAGGTGCTCAGAGTAATCCATTTATTCTATTCCTAATGGAAATAGTTCATGCTACCACAACCCCAGGCCACTGTTCTCAACTGCAGTTTAGGTGAGGGTTACTGAAGGGCACTGAAAACGCACAGCTCCTCAGTGCACTGGGAACCGTGGCTACCAAGTATGGAGGTTGGACCATGTGGGCAAATCCTTCTTCTGTTCTTTAATGGTAGCCACCAAAGAAGCTAAGATTTAGAGTAGAGAGGCCAAATCAGGAAGAGGCCAACTAGAGAAATTCATCTGTTAAGATCAGGTTCATCATACCAGGCATGGAGATGTCTTTTATGGCTCATAATATTTTGATTGGTAAATACTGGCAAACTCTCATGGGGATGAGGTCAGCCCTGAAGTCCCATGAATTGGATAAACTGTTTATGTCTTTTTTTTTTGGTAGACTATTTCATCCATCCTTTCAAATTTTATAAACAGGCACTTCCATTTAATGTACTATTTATAAGGAATAGGCCCTTAATCATAAAGTAGTATCAACCTGAATTTTTAAAAAGTTTAAGTTATATTGTCAAATAAGGTCACACTTGATATTAACCAGCATTTGCTGCTGTTAAGACAAAACAACACTAAATCCTCAACTCTAATTCACATGCAAACAGAAAAGGGAAACATGTACAGAATGCTCAGAAGAAGGTAAAAAAAAAAAAGAATATATAAGATAAAAATAAGGAAACTGAAGTTTGAATATTTTCCTTTAGATGTCTTACAGGGGAGGATTGAGCAATCAGCACTAGGCTGAAATAGCTGGCAGTTTGTTTCTAGACACAGTCTTCCTATATAAACAGGCTGGCCTAGAATTCGCATCTTTCCTGTCTCATCATCCTGAGTGCTGGACAGCAGGTTTGGGTTGCCATACAGAGCTTAAATTTATCCTAAGTTTTCTCTCCCCTAAATTGTTTTTACATTTGTCTGTTTCTGTGTGTGCACATGTGTTAGCACCCATGAATATGCTGGCTATGGCACATGTGTGGCAGTCAGAGGACAGCTTGCAGGAGTTTGTTTTCTCTCTCTACCACATGGGTTCCAGGAATTGAACTCAGGTTATCAGGCTTTACCTGCCAGGCACCTTAATTTTCTCTCCTTTAAGTTACTGCAAGTATTTCCAGAGTGTCTGTGCTTTAAGTACTTGGTAACTGATAATTAAATGCTCTGTTTATAATGATTAGAAAGCCAAGTCCAGATATTTGAGCAAATTAAGTATAAAATATCACATGTGCTAAAAACAACACTGGAACTTTGGTAAAACAAAAATATAACATGTATTGAGTTCCTGCTTCATGGAAGAGTCTGCCAGACAGTCTGCTGGATACAGAGAAAAGTGACTGACAGGTGGACAGTTTAGTTTCCTCCTTTGCTGAGGAGTGTGCTAGACACACTATGGCCTATAGGCTGAAGATGGAACATTACAGAAGAACTTCAGGTGACTGACAAGGCAAGATGTCTCTGTCATTTCTAGAGTTTATATACTATCCTTCTGTGGTCTTTGAAGGAGTTGAAGACAGATAGTTATGGTTATAGTTTTCCTTAGTTAGGATTAAAGATAAGGTACATATAGGACTTTAGACTCACAAAGATAGAATAGATGATGGAATATTTTCTTAAATCTTACTAAATGTTAATGGACTAAAAAATATTTCTACATAGCTATTATTACTTTTAAAAACCCAGGTTTTTAAAAATCATTATTAAAAACATGTATAAGACAGAAAACTTTAGTACTTAAAAGCTTATTTAATATATATTTTAGAATTTTATTTCTTTCAGGGGACATTATCCACATGTATGTTTATTCAAGAATTATCAATATATTAATACAAGCTTATGGGGAAATTCTTTAGCATTACAAATAGCCTGCTTTTTAAGAGTAGAGTCTGGGCTTTGAAGCCAGCATATTTGGCTTGAACTTTAGGGAGGCCATTTTACAAATGTCTACCTCACAGGGCGATTTGTACTAATGAGGATAGTCACACAACTGTACATCTCAATTACCATCCTACCATCTCCAACACAAAATCTCATCCTGTTACTATCCCCAACTTTCTGTAAGCCTCCATCATTTTGTTCAGTGTCTTCTAATTGGTCTCTCTCCTACAGTCCTTTCACAACATGTGAATTCCAGAATTTTCTACCTCTTCCTTTGAGACAGGGTCTTGCTCTGTAGCCCTGGCCAGCTCGATACCCATTATATACCTCAGGTTGGACTCAGACTTGTGGCATTTCTCCTACCTCAGCCTATCAAGTGCTGTGATGGCAGGAATGTGCTAGTATGCCCAGGAACAACCTTGAAAGCATGGACTGGATCATATTTTCTTGCTTGCAATCACTCTATAACCAGGAGAAAACCTTAGACTCTGTACTTAGCTCTGTAAGTATTTCTATACCACTTTCTTCCCTCTTACAAAATCCCATCTTTAATGGACTTAGTTGTAGTCCTTGAAACTACACAACTTCCTTCTGCTTCTTTCTTCTGTTTGAATGGTCAGGGGGCCAGCTCTTCACTTAGCTAACTCTTCAGAAGGGCTTCCCCCAAGGATATAATGTAGCTCACACTTTACTACTGTCCCTGTACTACAATCTCTTCTTCATATTTATTATCACTGTATGAAATTACCATGTTATTCGATGTGTTCAGTCTGTTTCTAATCATCTACCCCTCCCCATCCTGCAGCCTCACCGAAACGGGAAATTCCATGAGGGCTGGAACTATGTTTTTCCTATTCTGAACTAGATCCCTAGTGGCTAGCATAATATAGCTGGAGCATAGTAGGCACGTGGATACTGAGCTAGGTATTCAAAGAATTAGGGGAATTATTATCTCTGAAAATGTTTATTGGTAGGGATAGGGAAACACACGCGCACACACACACACACACACACACACACCATTCTCTCTAAGTTCAGAATTGCAAAATAAAACAAGGCTTAGAAGATAGGTAAGCTGTGAGGAACTGGTCTGTATAAACTTTAATGATTTTCTGGGAAAAACTTTATCGTTTAAAATGGTCTTATTTGGGTATTCACTAATTTATTTAGTTGGTTTCCTTCAAATCTGAAAGATTTACTAGTCTGAAATGGTCCTCTATAATTCTATGAAGTGAACTCGGGTTATATAGTCAGACAGGTTGTTCAAAAATGTGGAGAACATACTGCACAGAGCAGTGAGTGGTAAAGTGAACCTCCTTGCAAATGGACCAGTTACTACTGTGCTCAGTGTTTTACTGAGAGCGTACAATGTGAGCTCTGTACACAGGCAGATGTCAGCCACTGTGGGGAAACTAACAATTCTTATTAGCTAACACTGCTGAGGCAGAAAACAGGCTAAGTACAGTACAGTACGCAGATCTATTTGGTTCTACTACAACTTTAAGAAGTTGAGCTCGAGTTCAGAGTTAGTTCACAGCAGCAAGGACAGAGTTTAACCTCAGGCCTGCCCGAATTTAGAGTTTTAATCACACGTATCCCTTAGAAGACACTATGTCTGAAGAGGAATGAATTGTAATATGAGGAAACATATATGCAATGTCAGTGAACAAAATAATCTCAAGGGAAACTAACTCGTTGGAGATTGTTCAAATTTGAGGATACTAATGGGGATCCCTTTATTTTCCTGCTTTGGTATACAGATGGCAACAATGATTGAATGAGATCACAAGCTCACAGAGTTAAGCTGAGACTGGGACAGACATGGGAGAACTGCTTAGGCTCGTTCTCCAGGGAAAGGGCCTGCTTCAGCAGGTCAGCGTGTATCAGAATGCCACACATAGGAATAGGAAGTGGGAAACAGAGAAGAGAGGGTTAACATCGATTTAGAGTAATTAAGAATGACTTCAATAGCAAAGGTGGGATAAGTTCTACAATGACACACCTCAGCTCTAAAAGTAGGCTCACCCACACACAGAACTATATTTCTAATTCACTACAATCAGAATGGAATTAAACACTCTCAGAGATGTGCTTGAGTTTGGCCATTAATGTCTACAAAAATTAGGTAGGGGGATATAGGAAATTGCTTCTTTCAAGATGCTTACTTTGAAGGACAATGTTAAAGTTTTAGAAACATTACACGGACAATGAAATAGCATGTATGTCAAAACTCACCTGTAAGGATATGACATGTTACATTATAACTATTATTTTAAAACTATCATTTAAAATAGATGATTGCAGTAAAACAACAAGGTTTTAAAGTCATATTTTCACTCAGAGGGCAGTTGGCTGGATTTTCATTTCTTTGCATATATTCCATAGCTAGAGCTGTGGCTGTTTTAAAAATGTTATAATTGTGCTTTTTTTTTTTTAAAGAAAAAAGATATGCATGATTTTTACTTCTGTGCCTGGGTATATACATATACCTTTGTGTAGATGACCTTGGGGGCCAGAAGATGTTAGATACTCCAGAGCTGGAGTTACAGCAGTCATGAGTCTCCTGATGCGGGTATTGAGAACTGAACTTGGGTCCTTTGGAAGAGCAGCAAGCACTCTCAAACACAGAGCCATCTTGCCAACCCCTGCAATTCTACTTTTGAACTGCAGATAAGTAGATAGCTAAGGACTTTTTTCTACGAAAAAAGTTTCTTAGCTATTTCAAATTTCTAACAACTGGCTAAATGTAACCATTATTCCCATTTTTCATAGGAGCCAATGAAAAATGTATAGGAGTTCTGCACTGTCTAAACAAGACATCTTGAGTTTCGTTCCTGGAACCATGTGGTAGAAGTAAGACTGCTTCAACTTGTTCTCTGATCTCCATGCATGCATTGTGGTACATGTGTGATTCTAAATATATACAATGCAAAAGCCAAAGCCAATTTTCATTAAAAATTGTGCTCAATTATAGCTCTCCGTGGTTTAGACAGCACAGAGTTCTAGTGAGTGATGTAAGAACTGTAAGGAGGCAGACTCGCATTTGAGGTGGACACAGTCCTTGAAGAGCCACTGCACAAGTCCTTGAAGAGTTACTATGATATAAGGTTACCAAAACCAATAAAATCAAAGTATTTGTTATTATCTGGGATTATAATCTCAGTCTGTTACTATAGTCATGAAACACAAAATGATATTTCAGTCAATGGTATACTATCTATACAAGATTATATTGAAGCCCAAAGAGTCCTAGGGCCCAGTGACTTCATGGCATAGTGCCTACTTAAATGACTGTGGTGGTGATGCTAGTGTAAACAAACCAACTGCACAGCCAGTCAGATGAAAGCATAATACATATAGTTATCCATGGGACATCACACTAGAGAGCTGCTATGATGTTACTGGCTTAATTCTTTACTGTTATACATTTTGTCATTACTTTACACTGTGCTCCTTCTACTTAGAAAAAAGCTGAATCATGGTAGCATACGTTTATAACCTTAGCACTTCAGAGGCCAAAGCATGAGGATGCTGAATTGGAGGCTAGTCTGGGCTACTTAGTGAGATCATATGTCAAACATAAATCAGCACCAAAACCAAAATGAAAACAAAAAAGCAACACATTTACTGTAAAAACACACATTGTGTTATCCTGGCTAATCTGCCATTAGCTTCACATGCTTGTGTTCAGTTTGTCTCTCGATTTCATTATTTCTCTTGTGCTTGTTAAATTTCATGTTGTTTTGCTCACTATGATTCTAAGCACCTCCAAGGATGTTGCTATATACATGTGTAGCCTGATGTACACTAGCAGCCTATAGCACCTAGGCTCTTGTAAGGATATGATTCCAATGACAAAATGGCCTAATGGCATATTCCTCAGAATTTATCCCAACAGTAGGTGACATGACTGTACAGGCTAAAATACATTTGATGACACTAGCAGTGCTTTATGAAGGTTATTGAAACCTTCTTGTGAAAGTATGCTTTAGGTCTACTGATGTGTTACTTACCATGAAATGAGGTTGTGTTAAAATACGCTTTAGTTCCTTTGCATCATTATTCTCAGGGTAACATGAAATTTCTTCCAATACCTAGAAAAACAAAGAAGATGCATACTAGTGAAAAATGATATAAGATTTACAAAGCATGGAACTCCTTTAAATTAAAAACCATCAGTGGGGTCAGTGGGTTTTTGTAGTGGGAAAGCAATTACTTTGGAAACATAACCTTTGGAAAGGTTATTAAAATCTAAGAATGAGTAAAATGAAACAAATGCAATAATAGTTTGCCTTCAATAGCTATGACCCAAAGGTAACAAAATACAAAAAAACAAAAAAACAAAAAAAACAAACAAACAAACAAAAAAAAAAACAAAAAAAACAAAACAAAAAAAAAAAAAAAAAAAAAAAAAAAAAAAAAGGAAGCTCTTGTAACACGTATTTATTACAGGTTTAAAAAATGTATGTAGGTTAATGAGAAAATTTGGCCCCCAAATCAGCTCATACTGAAAGTTAATAATAGCCTTTAAAATTGAACAGAACTTCTAGTTTCCTTAAAAACACGATCAGAGGTTCAGTGAAAACAATATCCAAAAGAATGCTAACTAAGTAGAATAATTAATTTAGAATACACTCAAGTAATTATCCTTGCAGACTAGTGGGAGTAATGCTGTTCTCCATGTTTGTTTTCCAACACAGAGAAAACCATGCTTCTGTTCCTTTGATAAAATTCCAGCGAATCTACGACCAAAATATAAACTCAAATACCTTCAGCAGCTTTTCTTCTGCAGTCAAGTTTTCCTCACCAATTAGGCATTACCAGTTTGTTTACATTGGCAAAAATGCTGCTTGCAAGTGAACTGCTCTTAAAAGTTCTCCCTTTTACCCAGAAACGGAGTTCACCTGTTTACCTTAATCCAGCCCCTCTGTTTTTCTGAGTAGGCACCCATTACTGCTCTATGTGCACATGACTGCTTCAGGATTGCCTCAGCACCACTGGGTGTAAGGGGCACATAGCCCTTCAACCAGCATGATTCTCCTGCCTCAACCTGTCAGAACTTCAGGAAGGCGTTCACTTGGCCCAAGTCTTAGATTTCAGCACCCTATCACTCACACCCATACTGGTATTTCTTACTGCTGGTTATATAGTTAGTTCATATTGCTTAATGAAATTAAAGTAGTGCTCTTTGGTGTATTCTCTGCTTCTCTAAACTGTCTCCCTTGCTACTTTCACAGCCTATAATCTTGTGTACAGAGGTGTGTTCTCCTAAGCTAGGGGAAATTCTTCACCTGTATAACCAGGACAAAGGATTTCCCCCAGAGTGTCTCTGCTTCTCTGTCTATTTGGGCATTGACAAGATTGGGCAGTGAATCATGATTCCTGCCTGATAGTATAATTCCTTTCAAAGAATGAAAGAGTGCTTGCTGGGCAAATTAAGACAGATTTCTCTTAACCTACTCACACCAGTAGTACTACTCAGTGAGTATGTAAACATATATTGTATATATACACATATATATCAAAAGTCATGTTTCCTATCTGCTAGGAAGCTGGCTGTGATGGTACACTCTGTCATCCCAACACTGGACTATATGATGAGATCCTGTCCCAACAAAACAAAAACAGAACCAAATCTGCTAAGAAAGGGACTATTTCTTCAATACTCTTTCATTTACTAATTATATCTTGTAAGAAATATTTTTAAAGGAAATTTTTATTTGCAAAAAGACTTTAAAAGATCGAACAGTAAAAAGCAAAACCAAACAAACAAAAAACCAGGGTATTCACTAATGGGGTAATTTCTACATCATTCCAGTAATAAGAAAAAAAATTATACAGTCATTGAGCTACATTCATTAAGATCAAGTAGAGGTACAAAATGCTTATTACATACTATTTGACCCAAACCAATATGTTTTGATTGATAATGCATCAAATTCTATACGCAAATGAAAAAGATAGAAAAATGAAAACTACTGTGTTAGGGTGATAGGATTCTGAGTGAATTTTGATTTCCAAGCTTTCTGCAAAGCCATGCTTCTATAATAGGCAAGGATGAAAAAGCCTGGGGCAAACTTTTATGTGTTGACCACTGATGATGCATAAAAATGACTTCGGTCTATTTAATTGTTATCAAAAGTCAATTAACCTCCATATAGTACCACATTAAAAGGCAACTCAGATTTTTAAGGCATGCCTATTTCTACCAGGTACAGTAAAAATAACATTAAAAAGGAAAGACTATATTAATATGTTCATTTACACAGCAAAACCAGAAGGAGAAGTCTGGGAACTAGTGTTTCTGAGACTTTTTTCTTCCCTACATAGTTGTTCAATGATAAATTTAGCAGTCGAAATCTGAGTATGAGTCAAACTGCAATCCTAAAGAGTATGCTTAACATACAGCACAAATATCTTCTTTAAAGGTAGCAAATGTAACGATGCTAAATGCTTGAAGAAAAAGATGTCACTTACCTCTTTGGCTCTCTGTACTGCATCACTTGGAGGATTCCTGATTTGTGGTGAAGACTTTGTGTTAATTTTGTCATACAGCTAAAAAGCAAAGGAGAAAATCCAATCAATACTCATCATGTATTGCTCCAGTTCACGGTTTTCTATTCATTGTTTCAACAGACAATATTTTCCTCTTAAGAAGTCAGGGAGATGTTGTCAGTGGATCTTTCTTGCAATTGTTCATCATTCAAGGGAAATTGTCAGAGTATGAGTTTCATGCATATCTTTTAAAGTAAATACTTTTAAAGAGAGGAAGCAAAATTCTATCCTTAGCAACTAACATTTATCAATATAAGCAGCAACCCCAGTGTTTCTCTTAAGACAGAAGCAACATTCACTAATGTGACTGCAGTAAAATGAAAGAATGCTTTCTGGCCAAGAAGAGTCTAAAAGAATTTTCACAGAAACCTAGATCTTGGGAAAGGGCAAAGCCAACTCCTTCTAGGAAGGAATGTTCTCCCAGAGGTTTTTCTTGTCTTACTAAGGATAAGGATGTTCATCATCCAAATCAGTGTTGGAGCCTTTAGCAGGGGGCCAAGGACAGAAACTTGTCTCTTCTGCCTTTGCAAATTCAGAGTGTGACAAGACTGAAAAAGAGCCGAATACACTTACACCCCCATACAAACATGAGTGATTCAAGCATGGACTTGCTAAAGAACACTAATTCATCAGAGGAAATACTGTGTAATTGAGAAGTGCAATTGAAATGCTAGTTCTAGCTCAAATGGACTGACCCACAGTCAACAGCGGGCTTTGAAAAGTAGAGTTAAAAGTGACCTTGGTCAGTCTGATGGTTTCTATTTCCTAACTTCTTTAAAACAGCTTGAGATTTGGGGATTGTTTGTCCCTCCCCCCTACTCTTCTCTGTACACCAATGCTAGTCCAGAGGTGAAATACTGACTCTAAACATTCTTCAGATTATAGCTAAATGCCAGAAAAATCTTTATGACTTGTAAATATTTAGGCCATACCATATGTTAAAAAATTCCTAATGAGGCATTATAAAATGAGGAAGAGAAAATCGAGGAGGGGCCATTTTACATAACATTATTAATTAGGAAAGCATTATTGAATTGAAGACTGAATAAATAGTTTAAGGAGAAAAGTAAAATGTTACTCTACTCAAAACATTATAGGGCATTGGTGGGATGCTTTTTGGTCAAATCCTTGGGAAGATATATGTGGATACTGTCAGTTTTCTCAAGGTTTACATTTATAGTGATTGCCAACTAAAATTTGGAATGAAAAAAATGTACTTTTTAATAGAAATATATCTAAGCAGGGTCTCATTATGTAGCCCTGGATGGCCTGGAACTTGCCATGTAGACCAGGCTGGCCTCTTATTTGTAGATATGCACTTGTCTTTGAACTCAGAGAGTTCTGTCTGCTTCTACCTCCCAGCTTACAGAAATAATGTAGTCATTAGCTTCCCAGACTAACTTATGAAAAGAAATGAAATACTTCATATATAAAATATTAAGAAAACCTCAAAGTGAATGCCACCCACTTCAGAAAACCAAAACAAAAGAGAAAGTATCAGTCAGAAATATTTAAATATAAATTGCAAAATGAATAAATCTTACAACACTGTGTCTGTAGTTAATACATAATTTTTTATTGATAGTAAACACCATGTTATGTATTTAACACTTAAAGAAGACAGTGGGCCTGAGAGATTGCTCATTATATAAAGACACCTTCAGCCAGGCATGTCAACATGAACTTGATCCCCAGGACTCCTATGGTGGAAGGTGGAAGGAAAGAACCAATTCAGGCAGGCTTTCCTCTGAAACCCACACAAATATAATTTAAAGAATATTTTAAAAAACTACATTTAGTGGTTCTGGGAATGGTGGCGCATGCCTTTAATCCCAGTACTCCAGAAGCAGAGGCAGGTGATCTCTGTGAGTTTTTACATATTGAGTTCCAGGACAGCTGGCGCTACCAAAGAGACTGTCTCAAAAACCAAAACAACAAAACAACACAACTATTTAGTGGGCCAGAAAAATGGCTTGGGGGACAAAGGTGCTTACCATTAGCCTGATGATTTAAGTGTGATCCCTAGAACCCATATGGTGGAAGGAGAGAACAGATTCACACAAGTTGTTCTGACCTTTACACATGTACTGTGGCATGAGTGCATACACACACACACACACACACACACACACACTCACACACAGAAGTGTAATTTAAAAAACATACTTAGTTATCCCTGATGTCAATGTATTAATAACTAAAGCTTAAAGAACTCAGATAAAGAATAATAACAGTAAGATCTCAAGTCCATTTAAAAGAATAGCAAATTTAACTCAAGGCTTTTTCGGTTGATTGCAGTGTTTATAGTGTAAATTCTTTACCTCAAAAAGCTTTACCTTTTTCATAACCAATGCTATTGCTGACACTACTTCTAACACTTTCAAATATGATTAGTATTACTTTCTATTTACACAATTAATAAGTGCATACCAACGTTTACTCACAGAGCAACAAACAACTGCCCTTCCCAATGTGTGAACTTGGAGACTTGACTTTTAACCTGGTCTTATTAGGCCAAGTATAGTTCTTATGTCAGTTTAGTTTCTTTTAGAAAAAATAAAAAATTGGTGCTAGGCCCAGCACTCATCAGGGATTGAACTACAAGCCAGTATACTGTCTTGAAGACTTTTAGCTGGTACCTAGGAGACATCCTTGAGCCTCACTCTGGACTCACTACAGATGAAATCTTCTATCCAGCACTAACTTTTGAGTAATAGTAGTCATTCTAGTTGCCAACTCCACGAGATGGAATCCATCCATGACACTGCTTGGGTGACTGAGAACCTGAGACCAGATATCCCAGGGACCTAGAGTAAACACAAATACTCTAGAAAAGTAGCAATAAAATGACTCCTAATGACATTCTGCAATACCCATAGGTCAGCCATCATCAGAAGCTTCCCTTGCAGCAGATGGGAACAGATACAGAGACCCATAGCTAGACAATATGCAGAGAGTGAGAGACTTTGGAACACTCAGCCCTGAAAGGGATTTCTCATAAAATCCTCTCAGGGTTCAGAGAACCCTGTGGAAGAAGAGGCAGAAAGAGTGTTAAGAACCAGAAAATGATGGAAGACACCAAGAAAATCAGGCCTTTTAAATCAACAGGGCCAATGCACATATGAAATCACAGAGACTGAGGCAGCATGCACAGGGTCTGCACCAGATGAGGTCTTAGAGCTGAAAGGAGCAGTGGACACGTACATCCATTTATAACTCGGAAGCTATCTTCTATTGATAACCACTTGCAAATGAAAACTTAAGTTTTCTCCAAGGTAGTCTCACTGGGAAAACAAACTATGCTTAAGAGTCGACTGCATGCCTAGCAGTAGGTGGCCAATAGAAAATGAACTCAATGGTATATTTGAAGGTTCCTTGTCTCATAATGTTGTGTCAGGACCTTTTCCTTTTTAAAACATTTTATCTTATCTTTAAAAAAATCATATATACACAATTTATTGTTGTTTTTCTTTTCCTCCTTTCTTCTCTCCTTTCACCCTGCAGCATTATCACTTCCAGTTTAGAGGTTTTGTGGGATTCCTGAGTGTGCAAACTAATGGGTCTATTTCTTGTGCCGTCTCTTGGGCTCTTTTCCTTCTTCTGGTTTATTTTGTCCTGTTCTGATATATTATTTTATTTTATTATTATCCCTTAGAAGCCTGTTTGTTTTCTAATGAGAGACAGAAAGGGGGTGGATCTGGATGGGAGGAGAGGTGGGGAGGAACTGGTGGAATAAAGGGAAGGGAACTTTTATGGCTATATTATGTGACTAAAAACATTAATTTTCAATAAAAGGAAAAAAAGAAAAAAATCACAAATTTGAAATGTTTCAAAGTCAGAAATGCTCCAACATCTGAAATGGCCCCAAATCTGAAGCCTTAGAAATGCTGAACTGACTCTACAAGTTGAAAGTTCCACATGTGAGGGATTGTAGTCAAATTCCAGGCACATTAAAAATGTTTCATGAAATTATTTTCAGGCTGTGTGTACATGATATATTTGAAATGTATTTAAAATGTATGTTTAGTCTTTGGTCCTAATCCCAAATTATCATTAAATACTCAAGTATTTAAAACTGGAAAAACCCTCAAATATAAAACAGGTCAGTTTTCAAGCAATTCAGATAAGAGCTATTCAATCTGCATTACCAGGAACAATGAACATTTACTAGATGCTAATTACTAGTCAGAGACCTTAATATAAATGTACCCATCTAACCTCAGCTAATTTTGCAAGGCGAGTGCCTCTGTAAATACATGTTCTTCCCATTGTACAGATGAGGAAGACAGACAACAGTGAAGTAAGAACCACAGTTCTAGCTTTAGGATGACTTTACAGGTGGTGCACAGGTGCCTGGATTCTCATCACTTTCGTGGCTATACTGTAAGGAAGGTGCTCAGATAAAATTCCTCTGTGCCTTTGAGATGGCATGACATATATGCACACATACACATGCTTTAGAATTCCAAAGTGAGCCCAACAAGAATCTGTGGCACCAAGTCTACTAGCAAGTTGCTGGTGCCTGTGGAGGGCTTGTTGCATAGTGGTCAGCATTGCTTCTGCACCTGGCCTAGCCTTATTCTACCTATAAAGGCAGAAGCATGACATGTGTAGAGTCACAGGCTTGAGGAAAGAACATAATCTGATTTTCCCTTCCTCTGCTTCTTGAGACAGGAAGGAGAGGGAATTGTTTTTTTCCCCACGGAAAGAGAAGGGTGCAGGGACCCTCCAGAAAAGGCTTGCATAGGAATTGGAAGTGGTAAACAGGAGAGCTCCTTGCATTGGTCTCTGGCTAGGGCTTGCTGAGTTGCAGCAACTTACTGGTCCACATTGGTGCAATGGAGTAGTTTTGTTTAGGGAATCCTGGGGGGAGGCTTATCGTGGTATTTTAGGTCTTAAGTGAAAAGTGACTATTGTCTGCTTCTTCTTCTTCTTTTTTTCTTGCCTCACCTTGGGTAACCCCCAGTGCATACTAAGGTAAGAATGTGTGCTTCTAAACA